ACTCACTACTAATGAAAGCAAACAAATATTGCAAATAAGCCAAATCACCTTTACATGTGTATTACTATTATAGAGCCAAGTTATTTAAATTAATCCTTTTTGAAATTTGAAATAAGTTTAATGTACAGAGGCAGGGGCCGTAGCATGCATAAGTTGTATATTTTTTACGTGTTAAATTGACCCTTTGATGTACAGAAGCAGGGGCCGTAGCATGCAAAAGTCGTATGTTTTTTACGTGTTAACTTGACCCTTGCAATGCACTAGTCATAGTTCTGAATTATGTTTTATCAGTCCATAATTCGACTATCTATAAAATATGCACTCCATCACCTATCGACTTTTGTAAAATAAAAAAAAAAAAAAAAACAGTTATCTATCTTTAAAATTGTCACGTAGGCTTTTTTCATCCTCTACCTCATACAAACTGACAATCCATGCAATTTGCATTTGATGTTCAGACTGTTTTCTCACGAGTGAACAGTCATCCATAAGGAACTTGACTGTAATGAGCTCAAAATCCCTATTTGGAATATGATGCACAATCAAATCGGAAAAAAGTATAACAAAAATACCAAACTCCAAGGTAAATTCAAAATGGGGGAGTCCATAAAAACTGACAAAATCAATGTATCAACCAACGGAATGAGTGAAAAATAGCTATCATATTATTGACTTGTTACAGGCATTTTCCGAACACAATGTTGGGTTACACATGGTTTTAAAGCTCTGAACTCGGAATCGCAGTAGAAATTGATACACTTGGTTATATTTGCCACTGGACGTTAAGGAACCAGCAATCAATCAATATTACAATAATGTAGCTACCAAAAATCAATTGAAGCGAGCTAACGCAAAAGGTATGTACTCTTATTATTCGATTCATCATGAATATAAGTTTAAATTCCATGGTTACATAGAAGCATATGCTTGTTCATATAGTCATACAACTGTCCCGTTTTAGTTCTTTACACAAAATCGAATTTAAAATTATTAATGTGCGTGAATTACCTTAAAAATATACATTTCCAAAATCGATATATGCGCCGGGAAATGAATGAACTTTGTATGACAAATTGCACTTTCTGTCCAAACCCTATCAAAACAACAATATTGACACTTTCAATTTCGTACAATATTAACTTACGGTTTGATGCACTTTAATTCTATGCCGTCTTCCTTCATCACAAAGAAGCATTTTTATAACTTTAAAGACATCTACATTTCCGGTTACACAATATTACCAATTATTAGAATTATGATCATGCATGGAAACACTTTTCGTTAGACCTCGGGCTTTTATGACATAATGAATACAAATTTTTATCTTATCTACAGTATTTTAAATTTTACACTCACCTGATATGGTTATTATCTCCGTTATTGGACAAGGGGCTGAATTATGTACTAAATCAGATAAAATTATTTAGAAATAAACGATAATTTTCATACTCGGTCACTTTTTTATTTTATCATTTATTTTTATTTTTTATTTTCTTCACCTATACTATTCTAATAATTTTTTGTTAATTTTATTCTAATTATTTTTCATCGATTCTATTCTAATTATATTACATCAATTCTATTTTAATTATTTTCAATCAATTCTATTTTAATTATTTTTTATTGAAAAGTTTCCTTTGGTAAGATTAAAATCCCAAAATACATTTGAATCACATCAATATTTTTTGAAAATACACTTAGTGTAGCAATAAGTGAACACACCAAGGGTCTTGTTTAACACACACATAACTAGGCTTGGTCAGACTCCCTGGATATTTCTTTTTAATAAATTACGAACTATTAATTATTGGGCGAAGCTTGTAACCGGAGAAGAAAAGAAACTCCCAGTTATTTTATACAATCTTGTTACTGGTAGTTACAACGGAAACATAGCTTGGTGTAAAACTGTAAAATCTGTGCTTGATAATTGTGGACTATCATATATATGGAACATTAAATATTTTATCAGTAACAACTGGGTGTATAATACTGTTAAATAAAGATTAATTGACCAGTTTAGACAGACTTGGTATACTACAGTCTACAGAACTCTCCAAAAGCTATCATAGATTATTCAAAAACAGTATAAATTTTGAAACCTACTTCAATATTCTAGATGACGAAAATATTGCTTCTTTTTGTAGATTTAGAACTTTGAACACCAAAATATATATATTAATCTTACCATTCTAAATTGCGGTTAGTGTTGGTTGATATTTTTTACGCTTTCGGACGTACACGAAACTAGGCTTGATCAGTCTCCTTGTCTCTCACAGCAGGTTAAGATTTAAACGGCCAATGCAAGTTGCGCATTTTCCCTAAAGCAATCGAGAAAGCTTTGTTTTCGATTAAAAAAATAGATTATGATCATCTGAAATAAAAAATTAAATTGGCCGTCCTATTGGTGAAAATGAATATTTCAAAATATGCATATATTGGTACATTGTGTAATTCCGAGAAGTTCTGACAATTTTGTTTCCTTCATTTTATTTAAGTATGTGCATTTTGCAGAGACAAATAAGCTGTGAAATGTCTATCATCTCTTCACGATAAGTATGTTGTTGTTCCTGCGGACAAAGCTTCAAATAATATTGTTTTTGTATGTAAATCGTACTACTACGAGTGTCTTGTAAAAGAATAAGAATTAAATGAGCACTCAGGTAATCCTAAATACAAAAACATATCATTTGACAAGGATGAAATTTTGGCGAATCCTAAGTCCTTCATGGATTCAATGAACATTACATTGAACAACAAATCTGAGGACTTACCTCGTTGTATTGGATACATAAGCTTCACATAATTCCGCACAAACAATAGTACATTGACTGTATGTCTGTATGTTCTACAAAGGAATTGTTCAATTGACTAAAATTCTGTCCGCAATAAAAGAAAGTCTTCAGAAATACTGTGAAACTGTTTACTCGCGTAGTGGTATTAACCATATGTGAATTCTAACAAATTCTTAAGAACTTGTGGTTAATTTTAAATCTCGATCTTTCTCTGAAATTAATACTATCAAAACCTTTGATTTTTCAACCCTTTATACCACCATTCCCCATGTGAAATTGAAAATGGTCTAAGAGAAATAATCCACAATGCATTTCAATACAAAAATGGTAGCATACGCTATAAATTTATTGCTTTGGGATACAATACGGTATATTTTGTTGATGATGAACAAAAAAGGGTAAAACATGCTACAACAAGTAACACGTGCTCAGTATGCTGGAGTTTGGAATTGACAACATATTTGTTGAATTTGGAGGTGGACTTTTTCAACAAATTATCAGCATTCATATGGGAACGATCTGTGTGACTCTCCTTGTCGACCTCTTCTTATTTTCATATGAGTCGGAGTTCCGTCAGACTCTTGTCAAAAACAAAAAGATCAAAGAAGCCAGATCATTTAATTTCACATTCAGATATATTGATGATGTTCTTTCCATTAGCAATCAAAACTTTTCTGATTGGGTTCCATTATTATATCCTCCAGAGCTAGAAATTAAAGAAACAGCAGACACTGCTTCCTCTGTCTCATTTTTAGACTTATACCTCGAATTTGACATAAACGGTAAGACAGTACCAGAATCTATGACAAACGAGACGATTTTAATTTTGAAGTTATAAATGTCCCCCACCTTAGCAGCAATATACCAACTTCACCTGCATATGGGATATACATTTCCCCAACTCATTCGGTATTCAAGAGCTTGCAGCTGCTACTCAGACTTTATAAAACGTAACCAGTGTCTGAGCAGAAAGTTGATGAACCAGGGTTATATCAATATCAAAGAACGTCTCGTTCTTTATCTAAAAAACGTTCATCGGAAAGTACCAAGACCTTGTTGATAAATATTCCGTATCAACTTCACAAATAATACCTTATGGTCTTGAAGTATAGATTCTAGGTACTGACGTTGTTTATCATCTTAATTACGTGTTACATGTATGTGTTCTTTTTATTTGTCTTTTTATATTTTTAACCTTAACTGTTTAGTCCATTTTTGTTAATATCCTTTTGGCGTGGCTCGGTATTTATACATCCCACCATTGTGTTATTGTGCTAGTGTCATTTTTTGAATTCTTGTCTTTCATTTTTGCTTAATATATACGTACTTTGTCTATAAAGTGTCTATATTCCATTTTGTTTTTCTTTGTTGTCATAGTTGTTTGTTTTTAAAGTGATTAAGATTATAAAACAATGTTGTCTGGTGTACCCCAATTTTTGCGAGCAAATGTAATGGTAATGCGCGCAAATAATGCACCGACTGAAACATGTCTTATGTCTCAAGCTTACCAATCTCACTAAAATCTGTTAATCAGATCTTTCACCTTTCACCGTTGGATCTGATTTTAATCATCAGATACATGTATACATGTAATTACAAAACGCAAATAAAAAAAAATCATTCAGCTGCAGACGTCACTGGTATTGTACCTTCCCCTTTTTATCTTAAATGTTGACATCTGCACTTGAAACAATGTTACGCAATTGCACAAGGTTGAGGCCATTGAGTTATTTTATTAATGCAACAACACTAAAGACGCTTGTTTTATTCTGAATAAAATTTGTCCAGCAATATTTGTTTGATCAAAGTCAACATTCACAAGAAAATTAGTATTTTGTTTTGTAATCAGACATATTCAGTGTGCAAATTATATATGAAACAAAAGCTGCATGATCGAACAAAAATTGCGGCCTTTCTGTCACTCTTGTTTTGATGTACATACTAATGCATGTAATATTAAAACTGGAAATTGATGCGAGTATACATCTTATCGATACGATATCAAATTGCAAAGAATTAGAATGAATTCCAACGTTGATCAGAATACTATCGACGACAAATAGATATTTATATCGCTATGTAAATTATATTTTACCCGGTTACCACTAAAAGAAATAATGTTATCTATTATAAGTGTCGTAAATAAAATCTTTTAGGATATCTAATACTAGTATTAATATAAATGAAATATTTATATTCCGAAAAAGCATGGGTGCGGCGAATAAAGATTCAAAAATCCAACAATTTTTTACAGGCAACAAATGTAGTTTGATACTCGTAGTGATTATTGCAGCAGCTATAGCTGTTTCTTGTGTTATTATTTTTACGGACAAAAATCTACGGGAAAAGCGTCAGTATGATCCTTCAGATCTGGAATGGTGGAAAAAGACCATTGTTTACCAAATATATCCTAGATCTTTCAAAGATTCTGGTTCCGATGGAATCGGCGATATAAAAGGTATTTATGTTTTTGATTCCTGATTTTAGAACAAGCATACAACATCATCACTATACTTGAAACATACATGTAACTTTTATTAAAAATGTTTCCAAGACATATTGTTGTTTGTGCTCATCTTTCTATCCTTTATATATCTCTTCGTTCATAAACCATATTTTGTTTGTAATGATGGAGGCGCATTCTCAAATCTGAAATCTGTTATAATAGATACAAGAAGATGTGGTATGAGTGCCAGTGAGACAACTCTCCATCCAAGTCAAAATTTATAAAAGTAAACCATTATAGGTCAAAGTACGGTCTTCAACACGGAGCATTGGCTCACACCGAACAGCAAGCTATAAAGGGCCCCAAAAATAACTAGTGTAAAACCATTCAAACGGGAAAACCAACGGTCTAATCTATTTAAAAAACGAGAAACGAGAAACACTTATAAACCACATCAACAAACGACAACTACTGAACTAATGTTCTTAAAAAACTTTCAGAACCCGCCCCGAATAAACATCAAAACACGCGTACAATACCGTATCAAATAATGCTCGGAGCTCCTTAAAGCAGCCTAAAAATACCATACCTGCTGATATGAATTCATGCTATCATACAATGGAATGTCCGTGGCTGTACATCCGAAGAGGAAAAAAATGTTCTGCAGCATCGTCATACGTTCTATTTACTTTTGTAATTATGACGTCAAAATGTGGCATTCAACCCATGAAACATAATTTTACATGTTTAGCTAACACTGGAAAAGGAATATATTAAGAGCATACGATACTGTTTTGTTCCCATGGTGAATTTTTGACGAAAGTTTGCATACAAGCTAATTTTCACCTAGTCAATTCAAATATGTAATAAAAAATATACCTTCATGTGCTACTTTTAGAGATAAATTGGGTCGAAATTTTAGACATTTACTTGAAATTTCGGTTTCTTGGACATTTCCATCCTTCAGAAAGACATACCGAACTTTTTTGTTTCAAAAGATAAACGCAAGCGGATTTTTGTAACATCATTCGGAATATCTTCTCTACATAAGAGTTTTGAATTTGTTTAACAATGCGTTGGAAATAATTCGTTTTTATCACATTTTCATGACTTTAGTAAAAACACGGCATTTTTTCCTGTATATTTATCTAATTTAAAAAAAATCCATCGGTGAATTTTTCATAAAAATTGGCACAAATAATCTTCATACATAATCAAGCCAAATGTCATTTTTAAACAGAGGGGTTCATGAACTCGTTTTCAAGTTAAATCAGTATGAATGATAAAAATCAGTCGAAAAATGCACCTTTTCCCGATATGTCACAGTTTGACGTCGTGAAAAATAATATTTTACGTTAGCGACGTCATTATTTCCCCTGTAACTGTATCGTATGCCCTTAAATTTATTTGTCAAATTGAATATTCTAATTCTCCTGGATCGAAAAACTAGTATCTTATTTCATAATTCAGATAAAATTTATTCAGTTTTGTTGATGTCGTAACAGTTCAGACTGATAGACCGAATGTTTGAGTGGCATATTGGTATATATAGTTTTTATACGCCCGTCAAATTTTTGACGGGACGTATTATCGTATACAAATGTCCGGCGTCCGTCCGTCTGTCTGTCCGGCGTCAACATGTCGCACCGTAACTTGAGAATGACTTATCCAAATTTCATGAAACTTAACATAGTTGTTTCTTATGATGGTCAAACGATCTGTATACTTTTTGGTGAAAATAAGATTAAAACTTTTTGAGTTACGGGACTTAGTAACTAAAACAGGTGTGTGTTTTTTTTCACATGTCGCGCCGTATCTCAAAAACAATTTATGATTATTGCTTAAAACTTTACACACTTCTTAGTTATATTAATCTTAAGATCTGTATACTTTTTGGTGATGATTCAAAATTTTATTTTAGAGATATTGAGTATTTTGTTAAAAAAGGGGGAGGGGTTTTTCACATGTCGCGCCGTATCTCAAAAACAGTTTATGATTATTGCTTAAAACTTTACACACTTCTTAGTTATATTAACCTGAAGATCTGTATACTTTTTGGTGATGATTCAAAATTTTATTTTTGAGTTATTGAGTATTTTGTAAAAAAAGGGGGAGGGGTTTTTCACATGTCGCGCCGTATCTCAAAAACGATTTATGATTATTGCTTAAAATTTTACACACTTCTTAGTTATATTAATCTAAAGATCTGTATACTTATTGGTTTTGATTCAAAATTTTATTTTTGAGATATTGATTTTTTTTTTAAAAGGGGGGTTTTCACATGTCGCGCCGTATCTCAAAAACGATTTATGCTTATTGCATAAAAATTCACACACAAGACGACGGGCGTATCGTGCGCTCATGGTGCAGCTGTTTATTATACGACAGCAAAAACTTTGCTTTCGTATAATGCTATCATGTCGTTGTCGGCGTCGTCGGCGTCGTCGGCGTCTTCGGCATCGTCGTCGTTCGAAGACACATTTGGTTTCCGGACAATAACTTTTGTTTAAGTGAATGGATCTCTATGAAATTTTTCCAGAAGGTTCAATACCACAAAAGGAAGGTTGTGATTGATTTTGGGGGTTATGGTACCAACAGATTAGGAATTAGGGACCAAAAAGGGGCCAAAAAGAAGCATTTTTGTAGTTTCCAGACAATAACTTGTGTGTAAGTGTATGGATCTCTCTGAAATTGTACCACAAGGTTCCATATCACAAAGGGAAGGCTGTGATTGAGTTTGGGGGTAATTGCCCCAAACGATCAGGAATTACTGGGGGAAAAAAGGGACAAAAACAAGCATTTTTCTAGTTTCCAGACAATAACTTGTGTAAAAGTTTATGGAACTCTCTGAAATTGTACACTTTTCCTGAAAAGAAAAAAATCTTCAAAATTTCAAAAAAATTTGTGTGTGTGTGTGGGGGGGGGGGGGGGGGGTCCAAATTTTTATGGGGGGTTCATATTTTTTCTTCAAAATTTTTGAAATTTCAAATTTTTTGAAAATTTTTTGAAAATTTTCACATTGATTATTCCTGATTTATATATTAAAACAATAAATACTGATATTGCAGGAGATACACACCAAACAGGGTGTGTAAACTGTTATATATAACAGATTAACTAAGTATTGTGCAACAGCACAGTATTTAGCAAGTAAATCTTCAATTGAAAATAAATACAAATCTTTTAACCAATTTCATTGAGGTCCAAATGGTCCAAAATTAACTTTGGAATTATTGCGGCTCTATGATATGCTGTATCTTGTTATGCATTTAGATTTTTTATTTTGGCCCTGTTTTCAAATTAGTCCATATTAAGGTTTGAAGGGTCCAAAATCAAACTTTGTTTGATTTCAACTAAAATTAAATTTTTTGTGTTTTTTTATATGCTGAATCTAACCATGTTGTTAGATTTCGGATATCAGACCATACAAGGTAAATTTAATGTCCCTTTTCAAATTTTTGAGATCTTTGACCACATTTATTTTGTTTCAGAAACCAAATTATGTCAAAAATTTGATCACAATCCAAATTCAGACAGTATCATGCTTGAATATTGTGTCCAAACTTGGCCCAACTGTTCAGGATTCGACCTCTGCGGTCGTATCAGGCTGCGCTCGGCGAAGCATTCTATTTTTTTTTATAAAATACACGATTTTGAATTGAAAAAAAATAATATCAATTTTCCAATCTAAGCCAAATACCTCGGGCAATTGCGAACGTAATTAAAAGTTTGGACCAAACACTGATTGGACACCACATTGTTAGTACAAATGTAATTGTGAATTTGTCAACTTCCTTGTTTGCAAGGGCGAGATAAATAAGATTCAACAAATGTCGTTTTTATTTTATAAAGTACATCTTTTTGATAACAGTGATAAATTCTGAGTGGATTATTTACATAGACTTGTAATCTAACAGACGATGGTGATCACATAAATTCCCAGTTTGCGGGACAACATTGAGTTTGTTCATTTCGGATTACCCGGTCTCGTTTCGATTGAAATTCATGCGATACCTCAGATTTTTTTTATTATTTTGGTTTGTATACTGTAAATTAAGAAATTATTACAAGGTTTTTGTTAATGCGAATAATGCGCCTGGGTGGGTATCGCAATAATTAGAACTCGCATTTATATATCTGAAACATTCATTTGTATGCAGATTTTCCTGACATCGCAATAATTAATCGCTCATTTTAGTACCAGGCTGAAGCTAGCGAACAATAACTAGCGAACAATAAGCCAGCGGACAATAAGGCAATATATCTAACAACCGAAAAAATGAATAAGACAGCAACGGCCGTTAAATGAAAAATATTTAAAAAGGCAGACAATCCGTCCAAATATTGCAATTTCAACTCTATCATGAAATGGTATTTATCCCATCCATTGATAAAACAAGTCACATCTCTTTTAAGGCTAATATTCAGTACCACAGTAAATCTGCATCTGTCAACGGTGTATTTGTAGGTGTAAAACCACCAATGCACCCACTTCCATTTAGAACGTATGTAAAAGTAGTCCTTCCCTGTAAAATACAGCACCTTTGATGTCATTGTTTAATTGAACTAAGATACACATTTGCAGAAATGGGGGTTGGCCTATTCCATGGCTTCTAGAGAAAAAAAATGAGGGGTGTCACGGGGTATGCCTATATAGGTCTTGTAGAGGGGAAACAGGCGCATCTTTTGCGCAAGGTATCGAAGGGCGCTATGTTCAAAAATCTGAAACAAGAGCTAAAATTTGAAAAAAAATTTGTAAAAAAAACAGGGGGGTTGGCCTATTCCATGGTTTCTACAGAAAAATAATGAGGGTTGTCACGGGGTATGACTATATAGGTCTTGTAGAGGAGAAACAGGCGCATCTTTTGCGCAAGGTATCGAAGGGCGCTATGTTCAAAAATCTGAAACTAGAGCTCAAAATTTGAAAAAAAAATTGTTAAAAAAAGGGGGTTGGCCTATTCCATGGTTTCTACAGAAAAATAATGAGGGGTGTCACGGGATATGACTATGTAGGTCTTGTAGAGGAGAAACAGGCGCATCTTTTGCGCAAGGTATCAAAGAGTGCTATGTTAAAAAATCTGAAACAAGAGCTCAAAATTTGAAAAAAAATTGTTAAAAAAAGAAGGGTTGGCCTATTCCATGGTTTTTAGGGGGAAAAATGAGGGGTGTCACGGGGTATGACTATATAGGTCTTGTAGAGGAGAAACAGGCGCATCTTTTGCGCAAGGTATCGAAGGGCGCTATGTTCAAAAATCTAAAACTAGAGCACAAATTTGAAAAAAGAAATTGTTAAAAACAGGGGGGTTGGCCTATTCTATGGTTTCTACAGAAAAATAATGACAGGTGTCACAGGGTATGACTATATAGGTCTTGTAGAGGGGAAACAGGCGCATCTTTTGCGCAAGGTATCGAAGGGCACTATGTTCAAAAATCTTAAACTAGAGCTCAAAATTTGAAAAAAAAATTGTTAAAAAAAGGGGGTTGGCCTATTCCATGGTTTCTACAGAAAAATAATGAGGGGTGTCACAGGGTATGACTATATAGGTCTTGTAGAGGAGAAACAGGCGCATCTTTTGCGCAAGGTATCGAAGGGCACTATGTTCAAAAATCTGAAACTAGAGCTCCAAATTTGAAAAAAAGTGTTAAAAAAAGAGGGGTTGGCTCATTCCATGGTTTCTAGGGGAAAAAAATGAGGGGTGTCACGGAATATGACTATATAGGTCTTGTAGAGGAGAAACAGGCGCATCTTTTGCGCAAGGTATCGAAGGGCGCTATGTTCAAAAATCTGAAACTAGAGCTCAAAATTTGAAAAAAAGTGTTAAAAACAGGGGGGTTGGCCTATTCCATGGCTTCTAGAGAAAAATAATGAGGGGTGTCACGGGGTATGACTATATAGGTCTTGTGTAGGAGAAACAGGCGCATCTTTTGCGCAAGGTATCGAAGGGCGCTATTTTCAAAAATCTGAAATAAGAGCTCAAAATTTGAAGAAAAAAAAAGTTAAAAACAGGGGGGTTGGCCTATTCCATGGCTTCTACAGAAAAATTATGAGGAGTGTCACGGGGTATGACTATATAGGTCTTGAAGAGGAGAAACAGGCGCATCTTTTGCGCAAGGTATCGAAGGGCGCTATTTTCAAAAATCTGAAACTAGAGCTCAAAATTTGAAAAAAAATTGTTAAAAACAGGGGGGTTGGCCTATTCCATGGCTTCTAGAGAAAAATAATGAGGAGTGTCACGGGGAATGACTGTATAGGTCGTGTAGAGTAGAAACAGGCGCATTTCTTGCGCAAAGTATCGAAGGGCGCTATGTTCAAAAATCTGAAACTACATCTCAAAATTTGAAAAAAATGTTAAAAATAGGGGGATTGGCCTATTCCATGGCTTCTAGAGAAAAATAATGAGGGGTGTTTCGGGGTATGACTATATAGGTCTTGTAGAGGAGACACAGGCGCATCTTTTGCGCAAGGTATCGAAGGGCGCTATGTTCAAAAATCTGAATCTAGAGCTCAAAATTAAAAAAAAAAAATTGTTAAAAACAGGGGGGTTGGTCTATTCCATGGCTTCTGGAGAAAAATAATGAGGAGTGTCACGGGGTATGACTATATAGGTCTTGTAGAGGGGAAACAGGCGCATCTTTTGCGCAAGGTATCGAAGGGCGCTATGTTCAAAAATCTAAAACTAGAGCTCAAAATTTGAAAAAAAAGTGTTAAAAACAGGGGGATTGGCCTATTTCATGGCTTCTAGTGAAAAATAATGAGGGGTGTCACAGGGTATGACTATAAAGGTCTTGTAGAGGGGAAACAGGCGCATCTTTTGTACAAGGTATCGAAGGACGTTATGTTAAAAAATCTGAAACTAGAGCTCAAAATTTAAAAAAAAAATTGTTAAAAACAGGGGGGTTGGTCTATTCCATGGCTTCTGGAGAAAAATAATGAGGGGTGTCACGGGGTATGACTATATAGGTCTTGTAGAGGAGAAACAGGCGCATCTTTTGCGCAAGGTTTCGAAGGGCACTATGTTCAAAAATCTGAAACTAGAGCTCAAAATTTGAAAAAAAAAGTGTTAAAACAGGGGGGTTGGCCTATTGCATGGCTTCTACAGAAAAATAATGAGGGGTGTCACGGGGTATGACTATATAGGTCTTGTATAGGAGAAACAGGCGCATCTTTTGCGCAAGGTATCGAAGGGCGCTATTTTCAAAAATCTGAAACTAGAGCTCAGAATTTGAAAAAAAAATGTTAAAAACAGGGGGGTTGGCCTATTCCAGGGCTTCTACAGAAAAATAATGGGGAGTTAACGGGGTATGACTATATAGGTCTTGTAGAGGAGAAACAGGCGCATCTTTTGCGCAAGTTATCGAAGGGCGCTATGTTCAAAAATCTGAAACTAGAGCTCAAAATTTGAAAAAAAAATGTTAAAAACAGAGGGGTTGGCCTATTCCATGGCTTCTACAGAAAAATAATGAGGGGTGTCACGGGGTATGACTATATAGGTCTTGTAGAGGAGAAACAGGCGCATCTTTTGCGCAAGGTATCGAAGGGCGCTATGTTCAAAAATCTGAAACTAGAGCTCAAAATTTGAAAAAAAATTGTTAAAAACAGAGGAGTTGGCCTATTCCATGGCTTCTAGTGAAAAATAATGAGGAGTGTCACAGGGTATGACTATATAAGTCTTGTATAGGAGAAACAGTCCCATCTTTTGTACAAGGTATCGAAGGGCGCTATGTTCAAAAATCTGAAACTTGAGCTCAAAATTTAAAAAAAAAGTGTTAAAAACAGGAGGGTTTGCCTATTCCATGGCTTCTAGAGAAAAATAATGAGGAGAGTCACGGGGTATGACTATATAGGTCTTGTAGAGGAGAAACAGGCGCATCTTTTGCGCAAGGTATCGAAGGGCGCTATGTTCAAAAATCTAAAACTAGAGCTCAAAATTTGAAAAAAAGTGTTAAAACAGGGGGGTTGGCCTATTCCATTGTTTCTACAGAAAAATAATGAGGGATGTCACAGGGTATGACTATATAGGTCTTGTAGAGGAAAAACAGGCGCATCTTTTGTACAAGGTATCGAAGGGCGCTATGTTCAAAAATCTAAAACTAGAGCTCAAAATTTGAAAAAAAAGTGTTAAAAACAGGGGGATTGGCCTATTTCATGGCTTCTAGTGAAAAATAATGAGGGGTGTCACAGGGTATGACTATATAGGTCTTGTAGAGGGGAAACAGGCGCATCTTTTGTACAAGGTATCGAAGGACGTTATGTTAAAAAATCTGAAACTAGAGCTCAAAATTTAAAAAAAAAATTGTTAAAAACAGGGGGGTTGGTCTATTCCATGGCTTCTGGAGAAAAATAATGAGGGGTGTCACGGGGTATGACTATATAGGTCTTGTAGAGGAGAAACAGGCGCATCTTTTGCGCAAGGTTTCGAAGGGCACTATGTTCAAAAATCTGAAACTAGAGCTCAGAATTTGAAAAAAAAATGTTAAAAACAGGGGGGTTGGCCTATTCCAGGGCTTCTACAGAAAAATAATGGGGAGTTAACGGGGTATGACTATATAGGTCTTGTAGAGGAGAAACAGGCGCATCTTTTGCGCAAGTTATCGAAGGGCGCTATGTTCAAAAATCTGAAACTAGAGCTCAAAATTTGAAAAAAAAATGTTAAAAACAGAGGGGTTGGCCTATTCCATGGCTTCTACAGAAAAATAATGAGGGGTGTCACGGGGTATGACTATATAGGTCTTGTAGAGGAGAAACAGGCGCATCTTTTGCGCAAGGTATCGAAGGGCGCTATGTTCAAAAATCTGAAACTAGAGCTCAAAATTTGAAAAAAAATTGTTAAAAACAGAGGAGTTGGCCTATTCCATGGCTTCTAGTGAAAAATAATGAGGAGTGTCACAGGGTATGACTATATAAGTCTTGTATAGGAGAAACAGTCCCATCTTTTGTACAAGGTATCGAAGGGCGCTATGTTCAAAAATCTGAAACTTGAGCTCAAAATTTAAAAAAAAAGTGTTAAAAACAGGAGGGTTTGCCTATTCCATGGCTTCTAGAGAAAAATAATGAGGGGTGTCACGGAGTATGACTATATAGGTCTTGTAGAAGAGAAACATGCGCATCTTTTGTACAAGTATCGAAGGGCGCTTTGTTCAAAAATCTGAAACTAGAGCTCAAAATTAAAGAAAAAAATTGTTTAAAACAGGGGGGTTGGTCTATTCCATGGCTTCTAGAAAAAAATAATGAGGGGTGTCACGGGATATGACTATAAAGGTCTTGTAGAAGAGAAACAGGCGCTTTTTTGCGCAAGGTATCGAAGGGCGCTATGTTCAAAAATCTGAAACTAGAGCTCAAAATTTGAAAAAAAATTGTTAAAAACAGGGGGTTTGGCCTATTCCATGGCTTCTAGAGAAAAATAATGAGGGGTGTCACAGGGTATGACTATATAGGTCTTCTATAGGAGAAGCAGGCGCATCTTTTGTACAAGGTATCGAAGGGCGCTATGTTCAAAAATCTGAAACTAGAGCTCAAAATTTGAAAAAAAAAGTGTTAAAAACAGGGGGGTTGGTCTATTCCATGGCTTCTAGAGAAAAATAATGAGGGGTGTCACGAGGTATGACTATATAGGTCTTGTAGAGGAGAAACAGGCGCATCTTTTGCGCATGGAATCGAAGGGCGCTATGTTAAAAAATTTGAAACTAAAGCTCAAAATTAAAAAAAAAAATGTTAAAAACAGGGGGGTTGGCCTATATCATGGAGTCTAGAGAAAAATAATGGTCGGTAGTTGGGGTCCTTATGCAGGATTTGTGCTTAAAAATGGCAAGTGTGGGTGTCACGGGCTATGACTATATAGGTCTTGTAGAGGAGAAATAGGCGCATCTGTTGCGCAAGGTATCGAGTGGCGCTATGCTGCATTTTTGTACAACCTATATTTTTTGCACTGGGTAAATGTAGCGTTGAAGTAAATGACTGGGTACCGTTGAACGTTGACGGTTTCGTGGATTTTTCGCAAACTCCAATGCTGAGATTTGGGTACTCCTGTGTACGATGTCCGAGGGTAGAACGTTTTGCTGCATCGATAGGTAATGTATCTGTAAATTAGGAGATGGAGGAGGCAGTGCAGATAGTGGTAAGACTACAAGGAGGTCTACATTCGACTTGGTTGACTAAGAAGCAGTTTTTTCTCTTGACCTTTTAAGACTGGTTTAAAGACTCGTTTAGATCACGACTAAATAAAGGCAACAGTAGTATACCGATCATCCAAATTCATAAATCGATTGAGAAAAAAACAAAACCGGGTTACAAACTAAAACTTAGAGAAACACATCAAATATAAGAGAACTACGACACAACATTAAAATGTAACACACACAGGAACGAACTATAATATAACAATGGCCATTTTCCTGACTTGGAAAAGGGCATTTTAAGAAAAAAATGGTGGGTTGAACCTGGTTTTGTGGCTAGCCAAACCTCCCGCTTTTATGGCAATGTTAAATATAACATTAAAATGACAACATTACATGACAGGACTACAATACAAATAAATGGGAGAACATATAGGACAGAGATACATACGAATAATAGCTAACAAGTTTGTCAAGTAGTTATTGTAAGTTACTAGATTTGATGGTATGCTTTTCATCCTGGAATCCTGGAACTTCATGTGAAGTGTTTCGTGCTGCTTTGAATAGGCAATAATTAGTTTAACAAACGTCATTTTATGTAAAGCGTTTGCAAAAACTCCCTTAAGCGTTTGAAAGCGTTTGTGAAAAACATTATCTAGTGTTTAATACCGTAAACAAATTAGCGTTTAATGGTGACAAAGCCGTAAGGCTCAAACCAGCATGAAGTTTTGACCAGGGCCGAACGGTGAATGTCTGGAAACTCTGGTTGTATTGTTGAAAGAGATCTTGACAAAGTTGGATCGTCTTGCGTGGGAGTTTCAAGCAGTTTTCACAGAGATAGAATCAATCAGCGTTGTTGAGTCGTACTCGGACGTAGAAGTCTTCGCACTATTCATCAAAAACCACCAAGATCTTACTGTTTGTGTCAATTCCCGATGGTCTGTTTCGAAGACGAACAATGACATTGATGGGTGATGTGGGACATTTACCTATATCGGAAATCAGGTCGCTTATGTCATTTGTAAGAATCTCTTCCCCAGTGCGTTTTGCAGGAGTAGATAGATAGGTTGATGAAGAGATTTTCCAAACTATCGTAACATAAATACCTGACCGATTTTTTAGCAGCGTCGGCTTATAACGACTTACGGCAGTCTGAAGTGTAAGTAGAATACAAAGACAAACAGCCGCTTCGAATTAACGACAAGCAAGGGGAGACGACGGAGGGGTGGATCGAGGATATTCCACTTTATGAGTACAACCAGTGGATGTTTCATGAACAAGCTAAAAAAAAAAAACCGCCCCGATCGTTTGTTGCACAACTTCACCGGACCTGGTACTTAGCTGAATAACGATTACATACAGTAAGAATCCCAAACACCTTGGTCCATGAGTCGCTGAAGCTGTGTATCGTCATGATCTCTGCTTTTTGTACACTCCTTTGGTCCAAAGGAAGATGTGTATTCCTAATCAAATGTACCTAAATTCTTTGTGATTCGAACCTTGTCATCCACGTGGAACCAAGCCGTGTAAATGAACTGTCGATGCTCAACATAAGAATACAACAACTCGCAACTATGTGAGTGACAGGAACATGCATTGTTAACTTTGCACTCTATAAAATCCAGCAATGAGAAAGAAGATGGAACGCGACACCGTTTGACACCTCATCTTCACCAAAGTTCAATTGGTCTGGGCGTCTCAATAGAAAAGTTCGTTGGACGGATAAAACATTTCGACGTAAATTCGAGAAACGATGCCTGATCGCTGTTCGTTTAGGTGAAACTTGGATTACAGTTCTATCTCAACAGAACAAAGAATTCACGTTTATTCTTAGCATCATCAATGTTTTCCTTGCCAAATACGACTGTTTAGTGCCGCCAAAGACCAAGAAGGTATGACGATCAAGGTTGCTTTTTTATACCGTATTTAAGTCAAGCATTTTCATAAAACTATGGACGGAAAAGGTTACTGAATTCCACAACAAAGAGGTCAAAGTGCTATGCCGAAAACACGACGTTGATCCCGCCAGAATGGAGGAAAGCCGGGTTTTCTCGACCACTGGAACCACACCATGATGGGAAGATGATCAAATACTTTTAAGCCAAATCTACGCGCACATGCGCGATTGGTACTTTAGATGATCTCGTTCACCAACAAAAACACCACCAAACAGAGATCGACTTAAGACATTTGGCAGCAAGTCATAAGAAATATGAAAGAAAATAAGGTGTACTGTAGCTTGTATGCAGACATGCCTACTATACAGCAGGGTCGGATCCTCGTGTTTACCAATCCCCACGATTTCAACGATGAGGAAATACAGGGTTCCCGAACTTCTGAATACCTCGTACCGCATCGATAAGGTATTGCGAAGGCGACATCGGGGTGATGTCAATGATCTCTTTGAGAAATGGATAGGTAATCTCAGTCATTTATTTCTTGGATCAAACAATTAGACATGGAGTCACAACCTCTCTTTTCAAACACAAAGGTTCGTGGTTCGATCTCTGTTCCTGGGAGAAAATTTCAGGGACCAAATTTTCGGCTCGGCCTTGACATCATTTGCGAGTATTGTCTTCAGGAACGATGATAGTCTGTCGGAAGGGTACGATAAACGGCTGACCCGCATTAAGAAAAATCAATATCACTGCACGTAAAAGACAACCTTGTAGATTTCGAAAGAGACCAGGCTAATGCCGCTACAAGGCAGCACTCGCACCAGCAAAGTAGAGAGGGATATGATTAATATAAGTTACAATAACTTGTTTCCAAATCCACTAAAAATAACTATGTTTAAACTAACCTCTCTAGAAGGTCTATATTCTTGATGATTCTCCAAGACTGTAAAGGTTATGAGAATGTAAAGGTTACTAGTAACCAATGGGTTTAACGGTTTTCTCTGATATAGCAGGGTTACTAGTATAAAACTATGCTGCATTTTATTGTACCAGAGGTGTCAACCTGAATCAATTGGCGTGCGGGTTCTATTGAGAAGAGTCGCTTGCGGGTACACTATTGCCTGTAGGTGAAATCATGATATGTATGGGTGTATCAGAGGGAGTAAAATGACTAGCTTGAAAAACGGTAGTATTGACGGGTAATTTATGACTAGTTGATTATGAGGATTGAATGAGTTTTTAATTTGACGGTTTTTTTAATCTAAACGAACATGTACTGATCTGTTTGCTGAATTTCTTCCACCACGTCTTCATCCGAGCAAGCTTCTATCATTAAGACCTTTCTGAATATCACTTTTCTGTGACACGGAATCTAAAATAGCTGTGACTACCTCAATTTCTATATCGAAACTATCTCTGCAGTTATGTCTCCAAAATTCTTCCAAAGTCTTGTAAGTGCTCGTTTATGTCCGAAACGAATGGCTGTCAGCATTCTATCCATGTTCCCTTCTTAAGATAGAAATAAGAGACTTCTTGACTATGTGATAGATGTACTAGTCATAGTAACATGTCAAAGTGACGTGACATTACATTAAGTGCGGCACATAGTAAACGTCATGTGTGTGGTATTTACGAGAGGTATGATTATGATGCAACGTATTACCCTCAATTTTTAAGGTCTCGATATCTACTCTAGTTTATTTTAACACATCTCACTCTGTCAATCTATTGAATTTCTCTTTCTTGTTCGTACTATTTCTTTGCATACCAAACATTCATCACCTTGTCCTCTGCCATTTTATTTTCGTGAAGTTAACTAATCAAATGGTTCTGCATGTTTGAGTTTGTGGTCACACTTGTCCAGCTTGTCCATTATTTTTTCTCATGTTCTTTGATTGCTGCATCATATTCTATCTTCATTCATTTTATATCCGTTTAAATCTGGTCGCACTAGGTTTCACACGTGCTGTCTTTTACTTTTTTAATAACCCACCATTTCATTACAGCATCCGAACTGGCCCTCGGAGCTTTCAGAATGGTGATATGGTTGTCGTTCATGTTCCAGTATTTGAAGGAACTACCCATGATCATCCCTCTTTATCAATGGCCCTTTGTGTTGTTCCATTCCCTGAAAAATGCTACTAGTATTCGGAGATTGGCGAGCGTTTCCAATGGATTTTGGCTCTATCTGATGTGTCGTCCAAGTTCGTCCCAAAAATGTTCCATTGGCGATAATTTGGAGACATTGCTGGCCACGGCAACACACGAATGTGATTATTCTCCAAAAAATCATTGAAATGTGTGCCACGTGACAACATGCGTTGTCCTGCTGAAAAACGTGGTCAAAACGATGCCTTCGGAGAAACAGGAGAACGAGTGGAGCCAGAATTTCGTTCCTATACCTTTTTGCATTTAGGTTACCTTCAATAATTGTCAGATTGGTGCGTTCCTGATAGGTTATTCCGTCCCATACCATAATTCCGCAACCCTCAAACAGATCCGTTTCCTGTACGCACTCATCAGAAAATCATGCATTGCACCTCCGGTAGACACTGGCTTTGCCGTCGCTAAATGTCACGTTGAATTTCTATTCATCGGTAAAAAAGGACTTGTCTCCATGTTAGCCTATTCCATCGAATCCGTACCCGAGTCCATTCAAGTCGCGACATCCTGTGACGCTGCGTACGGATAGGTCCCTTCAACGTACGATGAGCTCTTAGGCAAACTTGATGCAGTCGGTTAACAAACTGTTTGGGAATAAAGCCTGTTGTTGTTTCTTCCATGAGTTTGTCTTGCTGTTTGTGACAAGTTTACAAGTCGATTCCATAGATGAATAATGCGGATGTGACTGTCTTGACGTAACTTCGTTTCACGTTGCCTGCAACCTCGGGGACGATTATTTGTCGTGCCAGTATCTCTAAGACGAGTCTTAAGCCTTTCAATATTCATTCTAGAGACATTGGGATGATTTGCAACCTGTATTAGAGTCATTTTTGCTGCCAACAACACAATAGCTCGTTCTCTCTCATTATGACGTAGACGTGGCATTGACTTACGTGTAACGTTTTCAATTTTTTAATGCGACCTTTTGTTAACAATAGTGCTCGACACATTTAATGACCAAAAGGACAACTCAATTCCATCTCGATACAGGTAAATGTTTGAAAAAATGCTTATGTGTTTAAAATCAGAAAATGACGTAAGTTCGTCTTCGAATTTTTAGCAAGTTAGTAAATAATAGATAAATCATTCAGGTCACTAGTTTTAATCTTGAAAATATTATAAATTAATACATGTAATTTCTTTTAATTAAAAACCAGGGTAACGTTTCTTTTTTTGCCTAGTAAACATTTATTTATATCAGACAATGCACGCACGTGGACGAGGGTACTTATACCGTCTTTAAGAATGTGGTGCTTAGATTGTCAATGATAAAGTTAACTGGTCTGTATGTAGTTTTACTATCATATCTTCTTAACAACTCAGTACTCTTTGCCGATTTTGTTTTATTCTGGTACAAAACCTCTGATATAAATAGACTTTTAAAAACAATACAAAGTAGACTGTCTATTAAGTCTGTAATAGTATATAGATTTTTAGGTTGTATACCAGCTGGTCTTCGCACTAAAGTTCTTTCATCTTCATCGTTTTCTTTTTCGAAATACCCTTGAAAAAAATTCAGCCAGTGTTCAGCTTCTCTTTATCAGTACTTACATAACACATTTTACAATCTCTTTCATCATATAATTCGAATGGGGGAATTTGGATTTTCATTTCGACTTCATATGACAAGAAAATCTTCTTTGCTGACTCTGATATGTCTTTTTCACGATTTTCACGTTCTTGTCTGACATTTGAGTTGGCTTTGTTCCTCACTAAATTTTAGTTCCTTTCGACATAATTAAACATAGCACATATTGAAGCTTTGCGCAAACTATGCGCCTGTGTGCCCTCTACAAGACCTTTATAGTCTTACCCCGCGACATCCCTCATTATTTTTTCCAGAGGCTATGGAATAGGCAAATTCCTGTTATTTTTCCCAAATTTTTTTGAAATTCCGAGCCCTAGTTTCAGTTTTTGGACAAAGCGCAACTCGAAACCTTGCGCAAACTATGCGCCTGTTTCTCCTCTACAAGACCTATATAGCTATACCCCGTGAAACTCTACATTATTTTTTTCTCTAGAAGCCATTGAATAGGTGTAATACCAACAATGCATGGTACGTCACATCCGGTTGCATACGAAAATAGGTCGAAAAAATATTCCTTTGAATTTGACAGTTGTAGGTAATTAATACATCATTTTATTGCAGTAAAACATTTCTGGGTCATAAACATACACATGTATCTTGGGTATTTCAAAGAATCATTATTGTTTTATTTGGGGTTTCTATAGAATATTTTGGAAACTTGAGGCTGCATGGTTACTAAAGCTTGTACACAGGTTAAATAAGGGGCAAATTTGATTGGTTAACTGACAGTGATAGTTATTTTCTTATATGCAATGAAATGTTATGTTAATTTTTTAATTTGAAACAAAGTCATACCCCGTGACACCCCTAATTATTTTTCTGTAAAAGCCCTGGAATAGGCCAACCCCCTGTTTTTAACATTTTTTTTTTAATTTTGAGCTCTAGTTTCAGATTTTTGAACATAGCGCCCTTCGATACCTTGTACAAAAGATGCACCTCTTTTTCCTCTACAAGACCTGTATAGTCGTACCCTGTGACACCCCTCATTATTTTTCTCTAGAAGCCATGGAATATGCCCACCCCCTGTTTTTAACATTTTTTTTCAAAATTTTGAGCTCTAGTTTCAGATTTTTGAACATAGCGCCCTTCGATATCTTGCGCAAAAGATGCGCCTGTTTCTCCTCTACAAGACCTATATAGTCATACCCCGTGACACCCCTCATTATTTTTCTCTAGAAGCCATGGAATAGACCAACCCCCCTGGTTTAAACAATTTTTTTTTTACATTTTGAGCTCTAGTTTCAGATTTTTGAACATAGCGCCCTTCGATACCTTGTACAAAAGATGCGCCTGTTTCTCCTCTACAAGACCTATATAGTCATACCCTGTGACACCCCTCATTATTTTTCTGTAGAAGCCATGGAATAGGCCAACCCCCTGTTTTTAACATTTTTTTTCAAAATTTTGAGCTCTAGTTTCAGATTTTGGAACATAGCGCCCTTCAATACCTTGCGCAAAAGATGCGCCTGTTTTTCCTCTACAAGACCTATATAGTCATACCCCGTGGCACCCCTCATTATTTTTCTCTAGAAGCCATGGAATAGACCAACCCCCATGTTTTTAACATTTTTTTTTTAATTTTGAGCTCTAGTTTCAGATTTTTGAACATAGCGCCCTTCGATATCTTGCGCAAAAGATGCGCCTGTTTCTCCTCTACAAGACCTATATAGTCATACCCTGTGACACCCCTCATTATTTTTCTCTAGAAGCCATGGAATAGATAAACCCCCCTGTTTTTAACAATTTTATTTTAAATTTTGAGCTCTAGTTTCAGATTTTTGAACATAGCGCCCTTCGATACCTTGCGCAAAAGATGCGCCTGTTTCTCCTCTACAAGACCTATATAGTCATACCTCGTGACACCCCTCATTATTTTTCTGTAGAAGCCATGGAATAGGCCAACCCCCTTGCTTTTAACACTTTTTTTCAAATTTTGAGCTCTAGTTTCAGATTTTTGAACATAGCGCCCTTGGATACCTTGCGCAACAGATGCGCCTGTTTCTCCTCTACAAGACCTATATAGTCATACCCCGTGACACCCCTCATTATTTTTCTCTAGAAGCCATGGAATAGACCAACCCCCCTGTTTTTAACAATTTTTTTTTTTTTAATTTTGAGCTCTAGTTTCAGATTTTTGAACATAGCGCCCTCCAATATTTTGCGCAAAAGATGAGCCTGTTTCTCCTCTACAAGACCTATATAGTCATACCCTGTGACACCACTCATTATTTTTCTCTAGAAGCCATGGAATAGGCCAACCCCTTAGTTTAAACATTTTTTTTTTAAATTTTGAGCTCTAGTTTCAGATTTTTGAACATAGCGCCCTTCGATACCTTGCGCAAAAGATGCACCTGCTTCTTCCCTTCAAGACCTATATTGTCATACCCCGTGACACCCCTCATTATTTTTCTCTAGAAGCCATGGAATAGGCCAACCCCCCTATTTTTAACAATTTTTTTTTCAAAGTTTGAGCTCTAGTTTCAGATTTTTGAACATAGCACCCTTCGATACCTTGTACAAAAGATGCGCCTGTTTCTCCTATACAAGACCTATATAGTCATACCCCGTGACACCCCTCATTATTTTTCTGTAGAAGCCATGGAATAGGCCAACCCCCTTTTTTAAACATTTATTTTTCAAAATTTTGAGCTCTAGTTTCAGATTTTTGAACATAGCGCCCTTCGATACCTTGCGCAAAAGATGCGCCTATTCCTCCTCTACAAGACCTATATAGTCATACCCCGTGACACCCCTCATTATTTTTCTCTAGAAGCCATTGAATAGACCAACCCCCATGTTTTTAACATTTTTTTTTAATTTTGAGCTCTAGTTTCAGATTTTTGAACATAGCGTCCTTCGATATCTTGCGCAAAAGATGCGCCTGTTTCTCCTCTACAAGACCTATATAGTCATACCTCGTGACACCCCTCATTATTTTTCTCTAGAAGCCATGGAATAGATAAACCCCCCTGTTTTTAACAATTTTTTTTTAAATTTTGAGCTCTAGTTTCAAATTTTTGAACATAGCGCCCTTCGATACCTTGCGCAAAAGATGCGCCTGTTTTTCCTCTACAAGACCTATATAGTCATACCCCGTGACACCCCTCATTATTTTTCTGTAGAAGCCCATGGAATAGGCCAACCCCCCTGCTTTTAACACTTTTTTTCAAATTTTGAGCTCCAGTTTCAGATTTTTGAACATAGCGCGCTTCGATGCCTTGTACAAAAGATGCGCCTGTTTCTCTTATACAAGACCTATATAGTCATACCCTGTGACACCCCTCATTATTTTTCTGTAGAAGCCATGGAATAGGCCAACCCGACTGTTTTTAACATTTTTTTTTCACATTTTGAGCTCTAGTTTCAGATTTTTGAACATAGCGCCCTTCAATACCTTGCGCAAAAGATGCACCTGTTTCTCCTCTACAAGACCTATATAGTCATACCCCGTGACACCCCTCATTATTTTTCTCCAGAAACCATGGAATAGACCAACCCCCCTGTTTTTAACATTTTTTTTTTAATTTTGAGCTCTAGTTTCAGATTTTTGAACATAGCGCCCTTCGATACCTTGTACAAAAGATGCGCCTGTTTTTCGTCTACAAGACCTATATAGTCGTACCCTATGGCACCCCTCATTATTTTTCTCTAGAAGCCATGGAATAGGCCCACCCCCAGTTTTTAACATTTTTTTTCAAAATTTTGAGCTGTAGTTTCAGATTTTTGAACATAGCACCCTTCGATACCTTGCGCAAAAGATGCGCCTGTTTCTCCTCTACAGTCCTATATAATCATACCCCGTGACACTCCTCATTATTTTTCCCTAGAAGCCATGGAATAGACCCCCCCCTGTTTTTAACACTTTTTTCAAATTTTGAGCTCTAGTTTCAGATTTTTGAACATAACGCCCTTCGATATCTTGCGCAAAAGATGTGCCTGTTTCTCCTCTACAAGACCTATATAGTCATACCCCGTGAAACCCCTCATTATTTTTCTGTAGAAGCCATGGAATAGGCCAACCCCCCTGTTTTTAACACTTTTTTTTCAAATTTTGAGCTCTAGTTTTAGATTTTTGAACATAGCGCCCTTCGATACTTTGCGCAAAAGATGCGCCTGTTTCTCCTCTACAAGACCTATATAGTCATACCCCGTGACACCCCTCATTATTTTTCTCCAGAAGCCACGGAATAGACCAACCCCCCTGTTTTTAACATTTTTTTTTTTAATTTTGAGCTCTTGTTTCAGATTTTTGAACATAGCGCTCTTCGATACCTTGCGCAAAAGATGCGCCTGTTTCTCCTCTATAAGACCTATATAGTCATACCCCGTGACACCCCTCATTATTTTTCTCTAGAAGCCATGGAATAGGCCAACCCCCTATTTTTAACAATTTTTTTCAAATTTTGAGATGTAGTTTCAGATTTTTGAACATAGCGCCCTTCAATACCTTGCGCAAGAGATGCGCCTGTTTCTCCTCTACAAGACCTATATGGTCATACCCCGTGACACCCCTCATTATTTTTCTTTAGAAGCCATGGAATAGACCAACCCCCCTATTTTTAACAATTTTTTTTCAAATTTTGAGATGTAGTTTCAGATTTTTTAACATAGCGCCCTTCGATACCTTGCGCAAAAGATGCGCCTGTTTCTTCTCTACAAGACCTATATAGTCATACCCCGTGACACCCCTCATTATTTTTCTGTAGAAGCCATGGAATAGGCCAACCTCCTGTTTTGAAGATTTTTTTTTCAAATTTTGAGCTCTTGTTTCAAATTTTTGAACATAGCGCCCTTCGATACCTTGCGCAAAAGATGCGCCTGTTTCTCTTCTACAAGACCTATATAGTCATACCCCGTGACACCCCTCATTATTTTTCTCTAGAAGCCATGGAATAGGCCAACCCCCCTGTTTTTAACAATTTTTTTTCAAATTTTGAGCTCTAGTTTCAGATTTTTGAACACAGCGCCCTTCGATACCGTGCGCAAAAGATGCGCCTGTTTCTTCTCTACAAGACCTATATAGTCATACCCCGTGACACTCCTCATTATTTTTCTCTAGAAGCCATGGAAAAGGCCAACCCCCCCCCCCCCCCCCCCCCCCCCCCCCTGTTTTTAACACTTTTTTCAAATTTTGAGCTCTAGTTTCAGATTTTTTAACATAGCGCCCTTCGATACCTTGCGCAAAAGATGCGACTGTTTCTCCTCTACAAGACTTATATAGTCATACCCCGTGACACCCCTCATTTTTTTTTCTAGAAACCATGGAATAGGCCATCCCCCCTTTTTTAACATTTTTTTTTCAAACTTTGAGCTCTTGTTTCAGAATTTTTGAACATAGCGCCCTTTGATACCTTGCGCAAAAGATGCGCCTGTTTCCCCTCTACAAAACCTTATAGTCATACCACGTGACACCCCTCATTATTTTTCTCTAGAAGCCATGGAATAGGCCAACCCCCATTTATGCAAATGTGTATCTTAGTTCAATTAAACAATGACATCAAAGGTGCTGTATTTTACAGGGAAGGACTACTTTTACATACGTTCTAAATGGAAGTGGGAGCATTGGTGGTTTTACACCTACAAATAATCCGTTGACAGATGCAGATTTACTGTGGTACTGAATATTAACCTAAAAAGAGATGTGACTTGTTTTATCAATGGATGGGATAAATACCATTTCATGATAGAGTTGAAATTGCAATATTTGGACGGAATGTCTGCCTTTTTAAATATTTTTCATTTAACGGCCGTTGCTGTCTTATTCATTTTTTCGGTTGTAAGATATATCGCCTTATTGTTCGCTGGCTTATTGTTCGCTAGTTATTGTTCGCTAGCTTCAGCCTGGTCATTTTAGTCCAAAAATCGCAATAATAAAAGCACGCAATAATTTCTGAATGTATTTCAGAGTATTCAAAATGCAATTATCGATAAACTACTGGTGCCTCTTTTTCAAAACATATTGTGTTTCTAACATCATTGAGTATATTTTTATTAACATATACATGCATGGTACCCTTACCTTATTTTATCTAACGACAATTGCAATTTTGTATTTCGGATAGTGAAACAATAAGCATACTAGTCGATTTTTAGTAATCATAAGAATGAGTACTAATTCTACTAAGTACTGAAGAAGATATATGTATTAACATATAACCAACTCGCAGGTCTCGATGTCGGATGCTCGTCTTGCACGATCGGATATATATCATCATATCGTAACATAACCAAAATAAATACAACCGAATGAAACAGTAAAAAACTGTCAAAAGTCATCCTTGCCCAATATAAAAGCCGAACAGATCTTAAATTAACACAGCATCCAAAATGAAATTCCCATCTTAACTCAATGTTACAATAAAAAAAACTCATCAATGATACACGACTTATAAGTTTGTACGCCAGATGCATAAAAGACTCACCAGTGACGCTCGATTAAAAAAAGTTGAAAAACAAAATCAACTAGATTTGTAATTGCTAGCAATAACGGATGGCACCCTCGTCCCCCCATTGCCATGTTAACGGCAGCCATTTTGAAAATTCCAACGTCAAAGAGGGCATCTACACATGCCAATTAACATGTTTGCAAAGTTTCATTGAGTTTGAAGCGTTTTAAAAAAATTGACATTTTTGCTATTTCCATGGTAACAGCAGCCATTTTGGAAATTCCAAAGTCAAATGGGACATCTGCATATGCCAGTCAATATTTGTGTGAAGTTTCATTAACTTTGGAGCATATTGATTTTTTTACTTTTTTGATATTTCCATGGAAACGGCGGCCATCTTGAAAATGCCATACCCCGATTGCAAATCTGCACATGCTGGTTAACATTATGGTATAGTTCCATAACAATTGGTTCATAGAATTCCAAGATATAAGCTGGACAAAAAAAGTGGAAGAAAAATAAAAAACAGAAAAAAAAAGAAACGTAGAATAACAATATGTCACCCCAACTCCGTTGAGGGTGCCATAATTACGAAATTGAATAGCATTGAGGACCCACAATTCTGAAAGGTTTTGCCAAATACTGTTATTGTAATTTATTCTTGGCTAAGCGTAACAGAAAAGCTAATATGAGAAAGTCGTCATAGCCTGATATAACACCCAAAACAGACGCAGACGACATGCGCCAAATACAACACACAGGACATATCTTAGCATTACTGAACAGTCGAGTTAACTGCTGATTGACATACGTCATGTGTACTTGACCTCATTTTCACAGCCAAGTGGTCAGGTTAAATTTTCATAATTAGGTCTGTTTCATGTGATATGTTACTAATCTTGGTATACTAATTCTCTACATAACACGAACAATTTTTAGTTGACAGGCTTCATTTGACTTTTTTTAAATTTAAAGTACAGTATGTGCAGAATAAGATTCTTTACCCTACGATATGACAAAACCGTGTACACATGACGAAATGTATCAAACTAGTATATCATCACCTATTCTGTATTTACTAAATCAAATATAAGATAGACGACTTTGACGTATCCTTGTGGAAAAATATCACAGGCAAATTTCCGGGTAATATTAAACGAGTTTTGAATTGTGTGTAACTTCCCTAGGAAGAACCAGTACAATTCAATATACTTCTTTATGCACGTACATGTATCCGTACATAAACTCTTGCTAAAGTGATGTCTGTTAGATCATTTGGGATATATTTATATGCAAATACTTCTTGTCTGATTCGGGCTTCGTGACACATGTTAATTTTCGAAAGACGGCAGTTGGTTGGAATATTGCAAAGCTGTGATATTTCATAACTATGCAATTTAAGAAGTCGTCTGGATACTGTCTTCCTCTGACTTGTAGATACTTTTATAGTATCGTGATTCAACATGGCTATTGAAAAAATGTATCAGAAAAATAAAAGGGATGCAATTAAACAATCGTCAGTGTAAGTAGGAAAGACAACACAACGACCGAAATTTCAAATCTTGAGATTTTATATGTTTTTATGGTTTTTCCTCAGCCACGGTGTAATAATAAAAATATTGCCTTGGAAACAACATTAATAGGTTTGGCACTGTACGACATGGTTTAACCAACCACTTTCCCACAAAAATAGTTGTACCTGTAAGAAATGTGACAGTCATGTCTTTTCAATCATATTTTTGTTTTGTTTTCGTTTTTCTATACTTCTTTTTTGTTCAGTACAATCCAATTTTAAATTTTCCAGGTATTACCAATAAGTTAGACTACTTTGTTTACCTTGGTGTTGGAGCAATATGGATCAGCCCTTTCTACAAGTCTCCAATGCGGGATTTTGGATATGATGTTGCAAATTATACAGAAATTGACCCTATGTTCGGATCAATGATGGACTTTGATGAACTAATGAATGAGACAAAGAAAAGAGGTAAACATTGAAAAATAATGATTATATTTAGATTTGCGTTAATCTCATAATGTTCTTAATTTGCTCGATTTTCTTTTTTTACTCACATACACTTTTGCTCAGCATAATGAAATTAAACTACCCCAGACATATTAGACTAACTAATGAACATCAAACTACCCCAGACATATTAGACTAACTAATGAACATTAAACTACCCCAGACATATTAGACTAACTAATGAACATTAAACTACCCAAGACATATTAGACTAACTAATGAACATCAAACTACCCCTGACATATTAGACTTACTAATGAACATCAAACTACCCCAGACATATTAGACTAACTAATGAACATCAAACTACCCCAGACATATTAGACTAACTAATGAACATCAAACTACCCCAGACATATTAGACTAACTAATGAACATCAAACTAAATGAACATCAAACTACCCCAGACATATTAGACTAACTAATGAACATCAAACTACCCCAGACATACTAGAATAACTAATGAACATCAAACTACCCCAGACATATTAGACTAACTACTCTTCGATTTTATGAAATGCCCAGTTTTTTCGCTTCTTCCTGACATTTCTCTTCCATTTGATTCATATATGTATATATCATAAACTATTACAACACTTAAATCGAAATGAAGCAAGTCAAACCGCGTTAGAGACCAGACAAGATCGTGAGAGTTTTCTCATTTTCTTGCCCAGATCAGAGGAAAAAAAATGTCCTGAATCCTTTTAAATACCTCTGCTACTATGCAATCACGGCTTATATATTGCTACTTCTGTCTGTCCTGATGTCTAAACTTTTAGTTTCCTATGTCTGTAGCTATATTATTTATTCTTATTTTTCATGTTTTGTAAGCTATTTCCAATTTCATAACATGGATCTTCATATCTGGGTTTCAAAGGTAAGAAGGCGGGTATAATCGATGTTATGTACGCTACTCTCCCTCTTTCGGTCTCGATCAATGGACAAACATAAGCTACACTAAGTATCATACAATGATAATCAGTACATGAAAAGCTCTTCTCACTATAAATAACGGTATATTAGCCTACAAAACATGAAAAAAAAATATTATTAAGCCGTATAAAATAATGCTCGCATGTACAGAAAGCAAGCTCAAATTACTTGACCTGGTATTAAATGGAACCGTTTTACACTTGCTATTCATTGCATTTCAGTGCACCCATTATTGACGTAAATATAAAAAAGACAGAGATATTCGTGTCTAACTTGTATATTGTAGTATTAAAATTTCAGATATAAAAGTTATTTTGGACTTTGTTCCAAACCATACCAGCAATGAAAGCAAATGGTTTATAGAATCTAGAAAGATGAACCCAGAATACAAAGACTACTACATATGGGCTGATGGCAAACGAAAAGGGCAAGGATATGAACCGCCTAACAACTGGGTAATTCTTACGTTAAAATACAGGCCTACATGCTATGGATCAAATGTTCTATGATCATATATAAGGTGAACTGTCTACATCTTATTATAAATCATTGAATTGGTTTAACTAATACTATAAAAAAAATCTTGATTACAGTGACAATTTACAAGAGGTTAATGAGTTATGTTTTCTTTAATTAAAGGAAAAGAAGAAATTGGAATACTTCTATAAATTCACCGTGTTTTGACGTTTTTGACGTCTTTATACCTTATTTAAATTGAAAATTTTGCCATAAGGTGTCTAGAGTGCAATATTGTATTTATTTTGCAATGGAGTATGCGTAATGTTGAAATAATTCAATTTTTGTTATTTAGGTTAATTTGGGGACCAAATATAAATTCTCCTTTATTAGTGAGTACTTATATCTGGTTACATTTCAGATTAGTGTGTTTGGTGGTTCAGCATGGAAATTTGATCGTGACTACAGATACCAGTACTACTATCATGCCTTCCTGGACTCACAGCCAGATCTTAATTTGAGAAACCCAAAAGTTCGAAAAGAACTTGAAGTATGTTATATTGAATATCATGATATTGTAAACCTATCACTTGTGTTTTATTTATTATGTTTTGTTTTTATTTTTTGTTTGTTATTTGTTTGTTTATATTTTTATTGCCACAAATATACTGTATGTTTTTAATTTCAGTTCATTTATATGTTTTTTGGAATTTAGTGTGACGTCCATTTTCATTGAAAACATGTTTAAACCCCGCCGCCTTTGTAAGTCTTGTATATTTTTTAATTTTAGTTCATTTATGTGTTTTGGAGTTTAGTGTGACGTCCATTTTCATTGAACTAGTACACATTTTTGTTTAGGGGCCAACTGAAGCCCGCCTCCGGGTGCGGGATTTTCTCGCTGTGTTGAAGACCCATTGGTGGCCTTCGGCTGTTTTCTGTTCTTTGGTCGGATTGTTGTCTCTTTGACACATTCCCTATTTCCATTCTCAATTTTATGTAAAAATTAATGTTTAATGACAATGATTTTAAAAAAAAAAATTTTTAAATATAAAAAAGTATAAAAGTAAGATTGCCAATAAGACAACTTTCCACCAGAGATCAAATCCCGTATATATGTTTTAAAAATAAAAACGCTTGCGTGTTGATTTATTTTTTATTTCAGAGAACTCAATCTATAATATTGTGCACTGCTATGTACAAATTCCAGTAATTTCGTTGCTACACAAGATATTTTTGGAAAATAATGACATTTTTTTTAATTACCAAATTTTTATTTTCATAGAACTGCAAACATATTTAAAACTATGTTACCATACAATCATTTTTTCTTCAAATTATCAAACGTTTATTTAGGTTGTGGTTCCAGTTAAAAGTTATGACGAATGTTTAAGACTTTTGAAAAATGAATTTTATACGTGGCAGCTATTTATAACATGATTCGAAAGAGTATAAAGTCAATAAATCAAAATTAAAACTAAAACTAAACACTGAAATTACATTTCAGGGAAATGTGTAGGATAACAATTCCCACAACAAATAATTTTACCGAATTGAAATGATATAAAATTGAGAATGGAAATGGGGAATGTGTCAAAGAGACAACAACCCGACCATAGAACAAACAACAGCAGAAGGTCACCAACAGGTCTTCAATGCAGCGAGAAATTCCCGCACCCGGAGGCGTCCTTCAGCTGGCCCCTAAACAAATATACTAGTTCAGTGATAATGAACGCCATACTAAACTCCAAATTGTACACAAGAAACTAAAATTAAAAATAATACAAGACTAACAAAGGCTAGAGGCTCCTGACTTTGGACAGGCGCAAAAATGCGGCGGGGTTAAACATGTTTATGAGATCTCAACCCTCCCCCTATACCTCTAGCCAATGTAGAAAAGTAAACGCATAACAATACGCACATTAAAATTCAGTTCAAGAGAAGTCCGAGTCTGATGTCAGAAGATGTAACCAAAGAAAATAAACAAAATGACAATAATACATAAATAACAACAGACTACTAGCAGTTAACTGACATGCCAGCTCCAGACTTCAATTAAACTGATTGAAAGATTATGTCTTCATCATATGAATATCAGGCACAATCCTTCCCGTTAGGGGTTTAGTATCATACCATCATAACATATATGAGAAGAACATAACCCGTGTCATGCCAACAACTGGTTTTTAAATAAATGTGTTTAGTGCCGATGCAAAGACCCTATAAGTGAATCAATATTAACGCCAAAATATGCAATCTTTAATGACCTGACAACAGTATCGTAACTATATCCCTTCTTAATAAATATATAATGTTAGGAAGTAATTTCATTAAAAGCATCCCAAAGGTCACGTTGAGCAGTTTAAAGCTGTCTGTGTACTGCTTTCTGATCATTGTGTTTGATTTTCATTAGCAACAGTTAAAATTTAACAAGACTTAGGATATCTTTTTGCAGAGTAACTTAGGTAAGTTTTGTCATATAATTATATAATTTTTATATACTAATGATATATCATTGCACCTACCAGACAGATAATATTTTATATGTTCAAATAGCTGTTACCATGGTAAGTTTTAGGCATTTGTGGAAGATATTTATATATAATTGTCGATATTTCACATGTATTTGGTTTCATGAAACAGTCGCATTGATATAAATGATCACCTAATGTAATGATTTTTGTAGAATGCGTTGAAATTTTGGTTAGATAAAGGAGTAGCAGGATTTAGGGTTGATGCCTTCAAGATGGCATTTGAAGTTAAAAATGTGTCTTTGGACGAAGATTTACCTGTAAGTACTTCTATGTACATGTATATACATTTAACGATTATGATCACACATAAAACTGCTGTCTTATACAATTGGATCAAGATATGATTTCCCAATGTTTGCAAAAGAAGTGTTGTTTTGTTTGTTTCATTGTTCTTTTGTACTGCTGGCTCATTGACATTCACGAAATAACCGGCCCCTTAAATTCTTAACAATGGAAATCTGAAGAAAATAAAACATTTATTCTTATAAAAGTGGATCAAGATACAATTACTTATTTACAAACGAAATAATATTTGATTCCATTGTTCTGTTGTATAGCGGTATCTGACGTTTTCGAAATAACCCGCCCCTTTTATTCACAACAATGAAATCTGTAGAAAATAAACTTTTACGATGACAGTTCATTAAAAGCGATAAAGATTAAACTGAATTTGTAAATGGTCTATTCCATTTGTTGTGTTCTGTCTGATAAAAAAAGTGTTCAAACTTTACGTACGGCATAAAAACCAATTCTTTTAAACAGGAATTAAAGGCAGGGGAGAAATCAGTATTCACAGATAAACAAAATCATAGTTATACCACTAACTTACCAGAAATCTATGGAGTGATAAAGGACTGGAGAAAGATGTTTGAGGAGTACAAAGAAAAAGATGGCGTATCAAGGTAAATTTCTAAAGAATAGATAAAATATGTAATATGTTTACCAATACTATATAAGATCCATTTACTGTGATGTGCATTGTTGCCACGGTGTACATGTATATCACAATCTAATTAAAATATAGAACTCGGATTTATGTAGTATAACGAAATCCGAGTTCTATATTTTAATTAGATTGATGTATATCACATTTTGTTCGCTTCTCAAGATAGCTCAACGGTTAACTACTATAAACTATTGAAAGAGCATAATACCTGCCACAGCTTAGCTAACATATGCTTAGCCCGTACGGTGACCTTTAATTGCATGTTATTTGGACTCTTTTGGATAGCCTCATCATAGTCCTCATTGGCAATCATACTACATCACCTTATTCTATATATATTGCTGAACAGGAATATAATTTTTTAAGCAATGTTCGTGTTTTCTTTATTCATAATGTCAATAATACTAAGTAAGTTATGTAACATTTATAATGTCAATAATACTAAGTAAGTTATGTAACATTTATAATGTCAATAATACTAAGTAAGTTATGTAACATTCATAATGTCAATAATACTAAGTAAGTTATGTAACATTTATAATGTCAATAATACTAAGTAAGTTATGTAACATTTATAATGTCAATAATACTAAGTAAGTTATGTAACATTTATAATGTCAATAATACTAAGTAAGTTATGTAACATTCATAATGTCAATAATACTAAGTAAGTTATGTAACATTTATAATGTCAATAATACTAAGTAAGTTATGTAACATTTATAATGTCAATAATACTAAGTAAGTTATGTAACATTCATAATGTCAATAATACTAAGTAAGTTATGTAACATTTATAATGTCAATAATACTAAGTAAGTTATGTAACATTTATAATGTCAATAATACTAAGTAAGTTATGTAACATTTATAATGCCAATGTCACGTATTCGTCTGCAACATAGCGTCCACTATCGACGAACACATTAGATGATTAAGAATGACTTGTATTGAATTATATTAACTAGGATCGATTGCCTATAATTAAACGGGCTTTTCGTGGTCCTGTCATTTCCGTTGACAGGTATGATATTTCGACTCTCTACACTACACATCCACACTATTTTGTGAAACAGAAGTTTTCTTATTTGATCTAATGTTCCTTCGAAAAATCTAACAGCAAATATATTTGCTGCAACTTATTCCAAGCTTCTTCGGTAATGAAAAAGGATAAGTAATATCTAAAATACACTAACTGGAACTGTGATGAAGTAATCTAAACTATTAATTTTTCCCTGACAACGATTATTTACGTCCAAGCAGTAAAGTGTGTAGACAGATTGTATAAATTCTTATGGGCATCAATTTAATGACAGGCTCGTTCTTGTATTGTTATGAATCGTTGTTTATGGCCAAAATTCAACATCTTTTTTGATGTCATCTAATTAAAAGTTAATAACACTTATCGTTACATATGTGATATTTTTACTGCAGGAATTTTCCCCGAAGGAACTGACTTTTTATTTACAATAATATGAGTAGAAATAATTGTCCTTTTCTTGATTTGGATTTTTTTCTGATTCACAAGGGAAACTCTACGGAAAAAATTACCGCTTTATAAAGTTTTTTTCAATATATTGTTGCATCACTGTCCAATATTTAGGGGTGGAATGCGCACAAAAACGTTCAACATCGATAAATTTTTTATGTGTCTGTTCAAAACCAAAAATTTGAAGCCCAGTGGTTTTCTTTAGTTGTTGTTTGTCATATTTGATTTTCGTTTCATGATATTAGCTTAAATCAAGCCGTTGGTTTTCTCAATTGAAATGTTTCAGATTTTGTCACCCAAGGGTCTTACTATAAGAGGTTATTATAATATTGAATTGGGTTCTGTCATTGTTGAAGAGTTACCTGCAATTGTTAACATCCTCGTAATTTGGCCTTTGGTGTATAGCTGTCTCATTGGCAATCACACCACATATTCTTATTTTTTTTATTTGAAGATATGTACGGAAACTGACCACCTCTTACTGAAGAAACTTATGTTGTGATAAAGTTGACCAGCCTTTTAACGAAATTCAAATTCAATTATGTTGGTTATAGAGTTTGTCTGGAGAGCCCTATTAGTGTTTTCACGTACAAAACAAGTTCAAACATCGCATATGCAATATTTTAACCTTAGGAAAATTGGTCAATGTTTTATATCTTGTAATAAAAAAGAATAAATTAGAAGTAATATTGTGAAAGGTTTATCTGTATTTCAATATAGGTTTATGACTACCGAATCATTTGGTTTAACATCAGAAATGGTTAACAAATACTACGAGGCAGGATCGCTTCCATTTAATTTTGATCTGATAATGAAAGTGAACAAATCTTGTGATGGTCTCTGTTTTAAGACGATAATTGAAGGTGCATTAAAGAATCTGCCGTCAACTGCATGGCCAAATTTTGTGGTGAGTTTAAATTTTATTTTCATAAACAATGTACGGAACGTGCGGAACGATAAACGGTTGATTGGTATAGGCGAGAGAACAAAAACTGACTGGTGTTGATTATATGAGCACAAATCAACTGCTTAATTAGTTAGCAAATGACATAAATTAACCATGTTTTCTGTTAGCATATCAATGAACCTTGTATTTGGTTGGCATACATCAATCTTCCGTATTTCCGGAAAGCATAAATCAATCAACCATATCGACCACTAAAGTTAGCAATGAGAATTAACATGTCAAAGAATCATAATGCGGTAAGAAGGGCCCACTGAAATGATTTGGTAATCCTCGCCAGCTCCGTACGGCAAAGTTCTTTACCGGACATGGCTCTAATGAAAGGTTATATCTTAGGGAAGGGCCCACCGTCTGAAATGATTTTTTTGGAGTTAGGCCCTTTCGGGAATTGTAGGGGTTCAAAGTTGCTGTTCAAAGTGTATGTTTTTTTTTTTTAAATCAGAAGTCTTTTTTCCTGTCGATACATTTCTTTCAAGTAAGGGTGCATGCCGTACAAAATAGTTCACGTATAAATTTATTTGAAAGTACTTATTATCGGCATGCAATACACTCTTACAGCTTGTTCTTCCATACGTTTTCATTTTTAGTATAGGAAATAGACATTAAAAGCTTCTTTTCTAAAAAAATACAGGATATTTGAGGATGCCGAGTGTATGGAAATTTTTCTTATTTCGTTTATTTGAAAGCATATGCATTGTACTAAGGAACACGTTTAAGTTAACTCGCATTAAATATCTATTTTTATGCTACGATAGTAAAGAGCATGATACTTTCTGGTCTGTATGTTCGTTTCTTCGTTCGTTCATTCGTTTGTCCGTTCATCCGTTCCTTATCCGTCCGTTCGTACATTCATACTATATTAGATTAACGTTATTGGTGAATGTAGTTGAAGATGAAGTTGTAATCAGATCAACTTGAAACTTAGTACACATGTTCATTATAATGTGGTCTTTCTAAATTGAATGCCATATAAATGTTACAAGTTTACAATATGATAGGTTTCGCGTTTGAAAAACACAGAAAACGTAAATAAGACGTCAAAATATGGTTATTTTCCCAACTTGTCCCTTTTCCGATGGTGTAAAAATCCGGAAAGGGGGCGCACTTTCATTTATATAAATACATGTATGATAATATATAGTATGTGTTTGGATGCAGCGGAATAAAAATAGTTCGTTCACAAATACTGTATTAATAATAGACATATACAGAATTTCATCAAACATCATACATCTGACACAGGCTTTATTAAGATGTTTTTGACTATTTTCGAATTGCTGGCACGTTTTTTTTTATATTGAAACTATATATTTCTTTACTCATTGATATCAATATGCCGTCATTTAGTAAGCAAGCAAGTCAAGATACCTATAATTGTTTACTTTTTACATCGCGATGACCGTGAGGGCATTCCGATGTATTGTTGGCACAGAGATTTCTACTTACGTAACTTTCGTTTTTGACTGGTAACCGATCTATAAATACGCGGACATCATCGAGTGCAAAATAACATTCCTTATCGCTTGTTATAAATTCATTTCTTCAATGAATACTCATAAAAATATATTTTTTTAGAACAAAAAAATTAATAATATGAAAATGTTTTGTCGTTAGAAATATATATATAAGTAAAAAATCATTAATATCTATGCACACGTACAGAAAAATTGTGTTAACGCATGCGGAAGAATATCTCAAGAACGTTTTGCGGGAAAATACTCAAATCCAATCTATTAGAAAAATCGAATTATTACAGAAGAGTGTCCACCAGGCACTTGCACTGCACTATTATTAGAATAGTAGAATAAAATGATATACAAATGGATGAAAATTATATATACATGTAACTGTTATATAAAAATATTAATATAGTATATAACAACAAACCAGAGTATACTGAAATGTATCACTACAATATAATAGTTATTACGGTGAGGTTGAATTCCCTGTCATTATTCATCATCCACGCACGAACTTGTCTCAGAAAAAAATATATCTCTGTACATTAACCTCACTTTCATGTATAGAAATGTGATTTTTATTCTGAGACAAATGCTTGTGACCATCCACAAGAACTTGCGGTCATCCTATGTTCAGTACTTCAGTACTTTGATTATACATTGTGACTTGGATGGAGAGTTGTCTCATTGGCACTCATACCACATCTTCTTATTTATAGTCAGTTCATTCTGCTACACACGTCATTGGTGTTGTAGTGTCCCACTTTAACTTCAAATGCTGGACATCTTTGGTCATTTAAACGTTAAAAATCAATATATATATACACCGTACTGGTAGCTAGAATTTCTATTTGACAGAACGTTTTTTCATAATTAGGTTTTGTGGTTTTCACACATACCGCATTATGATTCTTTGACATGTTGATTCTCATTGCTAACTTTAGTGGTCGCTAGGTTGAATCTGGTGTCATCTTACATCTTTGCTTCATTTTGAAATAGTCCAATCCTAAAAAAAAAATTTCATTGACGGATCTGATTACACGGATAAAAACCCACGATAAATTCTCGATCTCAATTTTAAATTATGGAACGCATATTGGTATAAGAATTCTTTATTCTCTCAGTCTAGTTATGATATTTTTACCCGGAATAATGACTATAATCGAATGGGTTTTTTTTGTAGTATCTTCGATAAATCAACTCAATTGAAAGAGAAAAAAAAAACAACGTTTTACTTTTTTGAAGCCAACTTTTGAAGCTTAAAATATAAAACAGTTATCTCCTAATTACAATTTTTAAACTGAATTCTGTTTTAGATGGGTAATCATGATAAACCTCGAGTAGCCAATCGCATGGGCACAGATATGATTGATGTTATGAATATGTTACTTTTGACGTTACCAGGAACACCAACATGTTACTATGGTGATGAAATAGGAATGAGAGACGTATATTATACATTTGATGAAACTCAAGACCCTTATGGAAGAAACTACGGACCGGTGAGTTTTGGATGGTGTAATATCTTCCTCTTTATAAGGATCTTTTTTGTTAAAAGGATATCTTGGGTATACGTCATTGAAAACCAAATAAATACACACCTTTAAAACAGTCATACAATCATGTATTTTAGACATGTTAGATTCCTGAACAATTAACAGAGAAAAAGAAGTCGAATATAAAGGATATATACCCGACAGCCAAGCAGTGTTTTACTAATGACAAGACTTCAGTTGTACATTTTATCTGTAAATGAATATTCAGTTTGATAAGATACCAACGTAGAAACACATATTATTGTTTAAGGAAGGGCTCAATCATACTTTGTAGACAAACATTCTGATTCAAACAAAAAAACATTCTCTGAAACTGACATCATTAAGATGCTTGATTTATTTATTGACAACTTATTTCGGTTACGTTTAGGGGATTTTGTTTTTGATAGACATTAGGAACCAACTGTGGTCCTTTTCTTGTCGACTAGTTCTTTTATGCGCACGAGGAAGACTCCATACAGGAGCTTCTCATGAATAGTGAAAAGAAGCTGGCATTATCATTTAACTTCACGCTTAGCCATTAAGATTTGGTCCTCTCACTAAAGAATTCAAATTTTCGTGACTATGTTGAATGCATCTATCCTATCAAACTTGAAATAAAGGATACCACAGATACAGTTAAGTCTGCCTAATATCTCGTCTCACATCTAGAAATTGACAATAATGGTCGGTTGAGAACAAAACTTTACGAAAACAGGTATGATTTCAGCTTTCCGATGGTTACCATTTCACTAATATGTAACAAAATTCCAGCAACTACATATGATATATATATATATATATCTACCAGGTAATGCATTATTTTAGAGTTTGCGTGTCCTACCATTATTTCCTTGAAAGAGGATTGCTGATTATAAGTAGCCTTGGAAACCAGGGTTCCAGATGGTAAAGTTGAATCATATCTTACGGACGCCTTCAAACGTTTATTGACTGTTACGGAATACCTGTGTGACAGATGATCACGGATATGTTAAAATTGTTGTAACCACAACTTGTCCCATCCTCTTCCCCTCTATTGTGACGTTCTTCCACAGTTGACCTGTTCATACGGAAATGAGACCTAAATTCATCGATAGTGTAAATAGGTATTACTGTTTCAAAATAATTCTGAATACGGTTAACATTGTTTCTCAAAGGTGTAAAAAAAATGCTCATTATTAACAGAATCTTCAAATTGAATAAAATAGTCAAAAAGTGTAGAGGTATCTAAAAAATCGTCTAAAAAAGGATAACTATATGAAATTGCTGGTACACCGGAAGCCACCTTGGATCTTATCGTCTGCCCTTGGATGTTCTATTATCCTGAACCGGTTCCGTCGATACGAACCGGATAATGGAAAGCACGCCAAGTTTGTACTTACCATCAGCAACATGACGGACCTCTATTGTGACATCACCGAACGAGTTTCATCACCAAATTTGTACTTACCATGAGCAATATGACGGCCCTCTATTGTGACGTCACCGAATGAGTCTTACATGTATCAGCAAATTTGTACTTACCATGAGCAACATGACGGCCCTCTATTGTGACGTCACCGAATGAGTCTTATTATCAAATTTGTACTTACCATGAGCAACATTGACGGCCCTCTATTGTGACGTCACCGAATGAGTCTTATCACCAAATTTGTACTTACCATCAGCAACATGACGGGTGTATCTTCTTCCTCTTTTTTATATCATCAAAACTAAGGTTGCAACAACATTAACGACACCTATTTTGCAGCACAAGATGCACATTTCGACAATTGTTGTCTCTTCAGTGATGCTTGGGGTCAAAATGTTTAAAATTCCGAATCCTAAAGCCGATAATAGCAAAGAGGACCAGCGTAAAGCCAAAGTCGTACAAGACATCAGAGCTATGCAACTTTCTCGATATTGGCTGATCTATAAACGCCTTTTAATTGTATCAATGCTATACACAGCGATTGAATTTATTTGATTTTTCCCTACCAAAACTTTTGTTCTATGACTTATTCGAGAAACACCTGTCTTGTCCACTGAACTCGGTATATTACTTTCGAATTATAATACAAAGACGTTACGCACGATATTGGTGTCACTTTTGGTAACGTCGAATGTTAACGTAAAAAGCTTATAAATATTGACGTGTTGTAATATTGCGTTTCAGTATATCTTTTTTTATACATTGTTTTATGTGATTAAAACAAGATATAGGTATACAGTTTGTGTTCTGTAGTAAACAGAAATGTATAGAATACGTATTGTGTTCTTTGAATGAAAGAATATGTGGGATATACCGTGTGAGTACATGGCCATAAGAATTCGTCACTTTAATACAATATTTTGCTATATACATTTCGTATAAATCGATGTGTTTTTTTTCAAAAAAATATTGAGGGGCCATTTCTGGTTGGATTTTAATTAACCTAATACCAATAGAAGCAGAACTGTCATACGTTTTTTTAATGGTAATATATTTGTTGTGAAACGTTAATTACTAATTTCTGATGATATAAACACAAAATTTTATTATTTGTCCGAAATTTTTTTCTATATATTCCAACCAAATAAAATTGTAAATAAATTTGATACTTATTCTCATCAGGAGAAAAAAATTAACTGAAGACAAAAATATGACCAAATAAACAACTACACTTCAGGCAATGCTGCGTCTTTCAACACATGGTTTGTGAAAATCCTACTCTAAAAGTCGTAAAGAAGTGTATTTTTTAAACGTAGTTTTATATTAAATAATTTTAATTTTTATCTTGACTGACCGATTTATATGTGTTTGAGAAAGTCAGAACTTATAAAATATACGAGTACCGGAGATTATGGTTATAGAACAAAGGCAAAACGAACGTACTTCTTCCATTGAGTCCGAACACCAACAAATGTGGAACTATAATATAGACATGGATAAACTATATTTACGCACATCAAAGTTCACGGTCTTGCATTCATTTTACATATTTTTGTAAAGAGTGAAGAGAAGTAGAGCCGTTAATTTTGAATTTTTCGGATAAATTGACTTTCTTTTTTTCTTTTTTTTAAAACTTATTCACAATTTTTTCAAAGCTGTATGGAAGACTGGTAGAAGTTTGAGCTCAAACTTTTGCGTTTTTATATATGATTTTTAGGATTTTAACATGTATTTCCATAACGAATATCGAAAAAAAAAATACATTGTGCACAGTATGGAATAAGTATGTTTTAAATAAGGGAGTGCGGAATGAGCAAAGGATTATTTTTCAAACAAGGGAAGGTTATATAGTGCAGACTATGTATAACAAAATATAACTTAGTTTTTCTTGAAATTGCAAGCGTTGCAAATCGTGAAAAAAATCAATACAAAACATTCATTGCTTAATCGCTTCATTAAATAGTAAATGGATGAGTAAAATAATGAAAAAATTCTCTTTTTAAACTAATAAATAGTATTGCTAGGAATAATATACAAGTACTCTCATTTTGTCTGTAACACGAGATAAAACGGAAAATGTTTGAATATTGATTGATTGATTGATTGTTGGTATTTAACGCCACTCTCAACGCTATTTGCTATAGAAGGAGATGACGATCTTTTATTTCCATCAAATGGGCTTACAAAGAGTATATTACAATATAAGACATTATTTATACAACAACAACAAAACAAATTGGTGTCCATTTTTTTTAATTGGTGGAGGAAGCCGGAGTACCCGGAGAAAACGACCGACGTTCGACAGGAAACCGACTGGCAATCCTAGTAAATGAGGATTGGAGTAGAACGCCATTGCTTCGAGTGGGGTTCATCGAATTAACAACCTCAATGTTGACAGGCTATTGCTTACTGTAGATAAACTTCTAAGATCGCTCGGCAAACAAGGCTTCGGAAATAACAGAAAAATAAAAAAGATGTGGTATGATTCCAACGAGACAACTCCCTACCAAAAACCGAATGACATAGAAGTTAACAACTGTAGGTCACCGTATGGCCTTCAACAATTATAAAAGTTATAAATAATTAGCAAATCCCATACCGCGCAGTACGCTATAAAAGGCTCCGAAATGGAAAATTTAAAACAATCCAAACGAGAAAACTAACGGCCTAATTTATGTACAAAACAATAAACGAAATACAAAGTTTATATGTTGTACAGCAACAAACGACAACTACTGAATAGCAGGCTCCTGACTTTGGACAGGCACATACATAATGTGGCGGGGTTAAACATGTTTGCTGATGCCAAACCCTCCCTTAATCTGGGACAGTGGTGAAACAGTACAACACACTCGCACATTCCAAAATTATATCATTTACTTCTTCAGTTAAATTCATTGTGTCTCTTTTTAAGAAAACTTTACAGATAAATCAAGTCAAATGACGACTTTTCAATAACTTAAGTTCCCTTTGAAGATATTTAGGAAACTATTTGAAAGTAGGGGCAAAGTTAGGTGTTGTCTCACAGATTTGTTTTCATTAGTTTAACTAATAAAAATTTTTAAAAAATGCTTCGTATATATAAATGAACAATAGTATTCCCACACGCATTTTACGGATGTTAACTGGATATGTACCGTAAGCCTATTTACAAATTCCACGGCAGTTCCAGCTCCGATCCACAACGGAAACGGTCACTGTACGGGGTTTAGGTTATTTGTATACTAACAAATACGTATGGAATATATCTTTTATTACGTTTTTTTTGGTAATTTTACTGTAACTTGTTATAGTTATTAAAAAAAAACGAATTTGATTTATTGCAGTTGCACCCAAGTTTGGCTTAATTTATTATAAGTTAAAACAATCAACATTTGAATTAATATGAATAACGTTTTGTATATGATGTAAGTAATATTTGAATTTCTGCTTTGGTAATTGGAAGATTTTAGTAAATATGTATGTTTTGTTGTTGTTGAGTTGCTGTCTCATTGAAATGTACCCATATCACGTTTTATTAAAAATAAATGTTATATTGAAAAGAGGAACCATTTCAACGAAGTGAAATGAAAAATATATATTCTAATTTCATACATTAGGTATTCTTTTATTAGAATAGATACGTTACAAATACATAATACACCATAATGCGAACATACGTTGCCTATATAGTTAACGTCAAAAACGTCAAATTAGAGATGCTGTGACATTTTGGTAGACCACCATGTGACCGCTTTATTTTGATGATTTCTGCATAAATCTTTATTTCAAATATATCGAAAGGTTCCTTTTGCAAAGGAATTTGATATTATGATTATTTTTTTCAAACAACTGATGTTGTTTTCGCCCTTTTTTGAAGATTTGTAATAACTTGTCCTTCATAATTCAAAGCAAAAATGAAGACGCTAACATTGTGACATTTTGGTAGACACCCTTGCAACGCATTGATATTCGATACTAATCGATAAAAATATAATTGAATGCATTGAATATTTTCTTTTTTATTTGGAATTTATCATACCGGTTTCATTTCATCGTTCTAAAATATTTAACACATTATTTTACATTGTTTTCTGTAACCCACACCGGAATTACTAGAGTTAAACGTTGGTTAAAAGTTTTGTGACGGGAGACCTTTGAGAATTCATATACTTTGTATTTTTTGGTTTAATGCTAAAAATGAGATTGATGTCCGAATAAATGCTGTTCAAATGTTATAGATTAGGAGACATGTTACATTTTCTGACTGCATGAAATGTTTTGCACAGTTTTACTCAATATTGATAATTTCTTTATACAACAGTTTTTTTAAACGTTGTTGTGACAGTGTACTTCGGGATAGGTTTTTGGTAATGATATCGAAGTATTCATGGGATTTGCTCTTTTCCGTTGGATTTCTTTGCTTTCAAAGAGTTTTCCAAACTTGTTTTACAAAAGGATATGTGCTATCCTGAATTTGATAACACAAATCTCTCGCTATACATGGACTATGAACTGTTGTGCCGTAAGGGAGTGATATTTATCATTGGTGTCTACAATCAATAATGACTTCTTTCAAGGTCTACTCAGTCCGAAAATTGCGTTTTTTCCGTCTTAAATTCATGTCATCCCAAAGCCCTAATTTTACTCTTATAAATGGTATAGCATTGTTATGTTTCATATACTTATAAGTAACCGGAAATAGGAGGAATACTCAAAGAACAACATTAGTATGTTACCCGTCTACACGGAAAATATAACATTTTTCTCGTTAGTATTCGGACAGCTGATTGACAAAACCGAATAAAAAACAATAAGCCATCTGTAATTTAAATTCTTAAGTGCTTTAAAGGTTTTATACACAAAATTACACTTTATCTGTCCTGTATTTTTCTTATTTAAAGCTGATTTTTTGTCAAAGGTACATGAAATCAGAAAACGTCACCAACATTGTGCGTAACGTCATAGAGACTGAAATACAATATACAAGTACAAACATTGTTGGTAAATGTCGAAGGTTTTATACGAAATAGATATTTCTCCTGTTTTTCTACGTTTATCTTTTTTGTTATACATGTATAATATATCAATTCAGTAATCACGCTTAAATTATTATAAATTCTAGGCATTGTCTTTATTTTGCATAAAAATGGACATTGGATGGAGGTGACTTGTGAGGGGCACGTTTATTTGGTTATTATATATGTTTAATATATTTACAGGATGGATACACAATGTTTAGTCGTGATCCAGAACGCTCACCAATGCTGTGGGATAACACTATCAAAGCTGGTTTTACTACAGGAACTCCATGGCTTCGTGTTGATCCTCTACACAGTCACAATCGAATAAATGTCAAGGTAGTACAGAGTAGAAAGCAACAACAAATAAATATAAAAGATATTACTTTTGATGACACATGATTTAATCAAACTGAACATGTCTGAAAAAACATCCAATTTGTGAGTAAAGTAAAATAAAGCAAGCGTCTATTTGTAAAGGTTCAAGTTGTTTCGTCAACAGTGTGCTAATTTAACCTGTAACAAAAAATATTAAAAAAAAACAGAGGCGTACAAATTTTTTTAAAGCTTCATCAAAATATCTACTTGTAACATTTTTTCATATGGAAATTTTGTCTATGGCAATTCATAATTTTACTATAACAAATTACTTCTCCAAATGTATACCTAATGTCTTATGACTTTTGACAATTTCAGACATGTTCATAGTTGATGACGATAAAAACAGAAAGCGGTTTGGTAGTTCGTTGCGTTTTGAGATTATTTAGGGTATATTAATTGGTCGAATAACACCGACAAAAGAGAAACTTGCGAAAATTAATAAATTCCACGAGAAATGATTTAACGCGAAAAAACACCCCGAAAATAAGTTAGTTTACAATATTCAGGGCCTAACATATAAATAAATGTATGTATTAGATGTAGGTAAAATAGTCATATATCATTTGTTAAACTGATAAGTTATACAATGTTTATTTGGTTAAGGTGGTACCAAAAACTTGACTAAAATTAATTTGGCTCGTTTAATTTTCATGAAATTGTGACAAAATATTTACTTTGACCCCTTGACAAAAATATGAAAATTTCAAAAAACTTGAACCACACACTTTATCGAAAAAATTTCATTGAATATATAGCAGTTTGACAACACTAATTTTGATCATTGAGAAGCTTAATATTTCCTTAACAATAGAACTTGATTAAAACGTTCAGCTGATTTTTACAGAGTTATCTTCCTGTAGTGTTATATGTACCACCTTAAATGTTGTGTTTTGATTGTTATTTGAAGGTTGAACGAAAAACCCTTACAAATACTCATATAAAAGTCTACAAGAAAGTGGCAGAAATAAGGAAGCTGCCATCATTTCAAAATCCCGATATTCAGTTTGCATATACAGACGACAACTTTCTGTCTTTTATCAGAACAGCAGAAGGACGTCCGAAATATCTCGTTATACTGAATTTTGATGCAGCAAGTCACATAGTGTCAACAGCAGACTTCAGCAAGGCTCCAGTTTCATCGACAAGAGGAGAAGTTGTTGCCATGACCGGAACAGTTAATTTGGCATTTGGAAGTTTAATTGATTTAAAACAGATTAAACTGCAAAGAGGGCAGGGACTTGTTATTAAAGTGCATCATTAGTAATTATGTGTTTGACTGAAATACATTTGTCTTCCAGGAAACAACAACACGGATAAAAAACTGCTTCTAACTTTCCTGATGTACTATAATATATTCAACCTATTAGTATTACGGATTTCGTCACAGATTAAATTCAAGTTACGTATTAAATTGAATGGAAACACCAAAGATAAACAATATTCAGTGTTTCAGAATCACAGAAAATATGTCTCAGAATAAAACAATTCACGACTTTAACTTATTGAATGCACGGTTAATTAATCAAGAAAAAGTACAACAGCATTAATAATAACCTTTTTCGATGGCAGCGGTTAATATAATAATAAATCGCTAAAATAGACCTCAAATGAAATCATATTATTTGATATTATTACATTGGTTGCAATGAATTACATTGATTTCCCAGTGAAATAAAAACCGATAATTTCACATGTGAAATAAAATTCTTCGATTAGTTATAATAATATAATAATGATAAGAAATTCTTTATTTAAAGAGGGTAACTCAATTAAGTTATTCTATAATTATATCTTAAGGTTGAAAAACAGTCATTTTTCAGGTTAGTTTGTGGCATTTATATATGATCGTATCCTAAAACATACTGTGTAAAAAGTTGTACATAGCATTGCAAATAATACATACACATGCTGTAGGACAGTAGGGTTAAATATTACCAAAAGATCACTGCTTGTAGGACAGAGTCATGTTATGAAAAATATGTATATAATAAAACGAGAGCTTCATAGTAACCAGACGATATTACCTTACATCATACGTCCATATATTCATTGTATATAAATGTATCTAGTTTTGTATTTTTGTATATATATGGGTTTTGGATAAATAAAAAAAAAAACAGACTTGAACACGTTTCTCGGGATATATTATTTCTTTTATTTATCGTTTGATGCTGTTTAGGTAATGTTTATATAAATTATAACTCAATCTACGATGTGTAACTTTATTTTTATTTGGAAAAGAAATAAGCAAATTTGTCAATCAATAAAGTGCTATCAGGTCAGTTTAATGCTGTATGGTCAATCAAAGAGAAGTCGATCAGCACAGAAACGTGATATAGCTGTTCTGCAATTGTATATTTTTGAAGAAGTTAATTCGTATATTTGTCAACTCAAAAAGTGATTATCCCAACACAGCCATTAACTAAATATTATTTTGAAATCACGTTAGCCTAATTTCTAAAATAAACAAGTAAATAACTTGCAAAAAATTGTTGACCTAAAGTTGTCTTATTATTACTTTTGTCGTTTGGTTGCTGTCTCATTGACGTACATCTCACAAATTCTTTTATTCATGTCGACCCAGAAATCGTTGAATATTATGCTTTTATTTCAATGATTTTGTATAAAGGTATCGAATTAATTATATGCCTTTGGACACACACATGAAGTTTATAGCCATTTAAATAAAACAATTGAGAAGGCTTTATATGGTTGAATGTTGATGAGACTTTTCGAGAAAATTTAAATATTCTATCATTGACAAGTTTCAAATTTAAGAAAACTTATCAAAATGTTTTGCAGAATGCTGCAAAAATATGTATAATACATGAAATGCCATTCTGAGAGAATATTCTAACTTTAATTCCATCTAAAAAGTAACCTGTTCTTGCGTGCATTTTTCAATTTAAAAGTGAAACCCCTTACAACATTATAATTATTATAGTACTTACTATGCATCCTGAACTTCAAGAAAAAGATAATCGTTGTTTGACCCAATAAGTCACCATTACATGATCATACATACCTTGGTAGCATGACATGTAAGGTATGAACACTTATAACAAACCCCAAACTTGACATCGTTTTTGATGTGTATTGGTATCTCTTATCTTTTTTCAATCAAAGTATGTAAATAACTCCAGTTTTTGCCGGAAAAACACGTATAACAAATATGGAGAAAACAGAGGTTGCGATGGCTGACGAGAAATTTCATGAAAGTGAAGCCATCGCTGGAAAAAAATCAAACTTTTGTACAACAAATAAATGTAGCTTTATTTTGTTGGTGATCATTGCAGCAGCTGTTGCTGCATGTTGTGTTATCATATTTACCGACAAAGAGTTAAGGACTAAACGTCAATATGATCCTTCAGATTTGGAATGGTGGAAGAAAACAATAGTATACCAAATATATCCTAGATCATTCAAAGACTCTAATGGGGATGGCATAGGTGATTTAAAAGGTATGTGAAAACTCGAGATGTAGATATTGTTGCACTGCAGAATGTTCCATGTCAGAATTTTGCGAAACTAGACAAACTAACAAAAAGAGTTAAACTTTGGCATTGACGATGTCACTATATTTCCTCTGTCTTCTTTCTACTTTGTCAATAAAATGCTCTAGCTAATTGTGATAAAATTAATATAAATCCACCACCAACAACAGCAACAAAGAAAAAAAATGTTTTAATTATCCTAAATTCAACTTTTTTTTTCAATGGTCACATTTCATACAATTTTCTTTTAAACCCAAGCTTAATATATAACAAAAGGTTATATAATATTGAAATACACTATAGTTTCTTCTTTGTTGATCGTTTTTACCTCATTTAATCTAGGATCAATGTTCCCAAATTTAAAAAGAACATAAATTACCTTTTTTGTTTTAATGTTTGTTTTCAAACGAATTCTAAGTTGTTGTACTTGATAACAAGTCGGTCTAGTCTACAAACACCGAGAGTAAACAAAACTGTGATGGGATATTTAAAACGGATACTATAGCTCAGTACTGAAAATATTCTTAAGAACATATTTTACCTTTTTGTCAAAGTGATACTGTTAAAATAAGTTACAGCTTGGTCGGTACTTTGATTTTGTTTTAGTTTTCAAAAACCTCCGACGCATATAGGTATTCGAACTACTTAACAAATAAAAGTTCAAAGATATATCTAGCAATTCATACACATGCCGTGGTTGTGGTGGTAATGGAGTAAATAGATATCTAGTTTTTGAATCTTCAACCGACTTTCATCTGAAAATTTGTAAATGAGTAGAGGTTTGCCAAATGCTTAATTAGGAAGGTATATATGCTGACGATATCCAGGTAACAAAATACGTTGGGGTAAAAACGATCGGAATCGCATGGACTTAAAAGGGAATGAGAGAACCTGCGACTTAAAACCATCCCAAAGTTGTATCCTGTAGAAATTTGAAACCAGAAGCACTACCAACCCGAAATTATGTCTAATAAATTTGTAGAAACAGCGTATATATGTGTAAGAGAAAATATCTCTCTAGTAAGTTAAGATATATACAAATGATCAAATAAATCACATTGATAACCATAAAAATCTAGATGATTGCATTGTTTTCTTTCTTTAACTCTGTGCAGAGTAGGATTTGGGTTAAAGGTACACTTCCATTTGCGAAATAAGAATACCGAACTCCAAGGTAAATTCAAAAAGGGCGAAGTCCATAAAACCTGACAAAACCAAACGCTCGATTATATAAACCAAAGGAACAAATGGAAATTAACGGTCATATTCCTGACTTGGTATAGGCATTTATAAAAATGTGTCATAATTAATTGGCAAGGAGAAAACTATCCGCCTGAGACAAAAAGGATACGATGTAAGCAACTTAAGGTCACCGCAAGATTTCATTTTATTTGTCTAATTGCTAGCTCATTATGGTACATCCAAAATCTTCTTTTATCTATATTTTGCATTAAAACAGTATTTTGTCGGTCTCCTTGTGACCAGGAACCCACAGTCCTTGTCATATATTTGCTGACTAGTGATTTACTAAAGAAAATTATGACAAAACTTTCAGATTAACCAATGATTGTGTATGTTGTTTACTATTATTTCAGGTATAACTGGCAAGTTAGACCACCTTACATATCTTGGTGTCGGAGCAATATGGATCAGTCCATTCTACAAGTCACCGATGCGTGACTATGGTTATGATGTCCAGAACTACGTAGAAATAGATCCAATGTTTGGCACTATGGATGATTTTGATGAACTCATGAAAGAGGCAAAAAAGAAGGGTTAGAAAGACATTACTGATTGATTATTATTAATTAGCGTACAGTGGCAAATTATGCATGCATGTTTAAGGCGAGAACAAATTAAAAACCTCTCTTTATAATAAATCGAAGTCTATAATTCAAATGTTGGATAGAAAAGTCCAAGTGACCATATTTCTATACCCTAGTCAACCTATTGATCTAAGGTATGATGATCAAAACGAAAAAAATTAAAGTTAGTCATGGAATTTTAATACCAGAAGGTCAACAAAAGATGATAAAAAATACAGTCTTTCGTAGTTAAATTTATAGGCTGATGATAAAGAAATAATGTGGATGGGATGTAAAGAAAACTTTGAAAAAATAAAATAAAATAAAAATATTGATATTACGAACTTTAATTAAATACTATTATTTGAAACTATGTTCTGTTTCAGATATAAAAGTTATTCTAGATTTTGTACCAAATCATACAAGTAATGATAGTGAATGGTTTCAGAAGTCTAGACAAATGGATACGGAATACAAAGATTATTATGTATGGAGCAATGGGAAATTAAATAAACAAACAGGCAAATATGACGGTCCTCCTAATAACTGGGTAAATGTTTGATGAGAAAAATTTAATGGGGACAAAAGGGTGAAGGGATGTTGTAATGACTTTGTCAAAAAAAAAAAGAGTAAAATAACAAAAATTCCGAACTCCAAGGAAAATTCGAAAAGGAAAGTCCTTTATCAAATGGCAAAATCAAAAGCTCAAACACATCAAACGAATGGAAACTGTCATATTCCTGACTTGGTACAGGCATTTGCTTATGTAGAAAATGTTTGATTAAACCTGGTTTTATAGCTAGCTAAACCTCTCAAAATATAAGAGAAGTGTTTTTGATTTTTCTCATAATTTATTTAAAACTTCGCCATAATACATCACTGAACACTTATCGGATCGATTAAATGTTGGTCATGTGGTATTGACATTTGTCTATTGTTGAGGTTCGTATGTTGACCTCCAGATAACTTGACTATTTTGGTTTCTTCTGTTGTTGGATTTCTGTCTTATTGGTATATACTTCATATCTCTTCTTGTTCATACTTGATTGAAAAGTCTCGATGATTTCCTTTTCTCGAAAAGGAAATTCCAATCAAGCTAGCCTGTTTAGGTCAAATGAATAGACTAATTAAAAATTGAATCTTTCATTGCACTTATAAACACGATTGAAAAAGGTTTACATATTTAAAAGTAGATAAACATAATGAACTTCTCTTCTCTGATGTAGAAGAGTGGTATTATTTTCATTTCACTTATAAACACAATGGAAAAGAGGTTTAAACATAATGAACGTCTCTTCTCTGATGTAGAAGTAAGGTTATTATATAGTAAATATGAAGACTTCAAATTTCAGAGAAGTGTATTTGGAGGCTCTGCTTGGACATACGATGACCAACGTGGTCAGTATTACTACCACGCTTTCTTAGAGACACAGCCTGACCTCAACTACAGAAACCCCAAGGTTTTAAAAGAACTAAAAGTGAGTATCATTCTGTTGTTGTCTTTGATTTCTCTATATTCTCTATTTTCTTTATATCTGCATGAATTTAACATAAAGATGTGAAGAAGGTACATATAAGTAGTAAATAATTGATCTCTAGAAACTTAGCAGGCAATAAAAACGAATCTTAAAATAACTGAATATGTAAAACATGACGTACAAATTATTCATGTATAAAAACAGACCTAAGATACAAAGAGCACATTCAAAACAATAGAAACGTTAACTGACAACGCAATGGCAAAAATCGAAAGACGATGAAAAGACATGCATTTACATTAAACACTACATAGAAAACTAAAGACTGAGCAATATAAGTACAAAATACTTGTACTGAACGATCATAGCACTTAAAACCTTGTACAGCGAAATATGTAGACACATTTCTTGAAGGCATAACACATCTTAAACTTTTAATCAATCCAAAAAGCTTTGGGACAACTTGAACATTATTTCGGTATTTTGACTAAATTAGATTTTTTAATGTAATAGTATGACGACTTATATGTATTGTTAATTCATTCGCTAATAAGGATAGGGTTGTTCCATTAAATATCAATATATATTAGTTGCATGTTTTCAAATGTTGCATTTGTAAATGTGTTTTTCAACTCTACAATACATACAAAGATTTAGTTATATATTTTAGTAAAGGGAACCGTGGGGTTTATGCCAATGAGAAAGTAAACTTACATCACATAAAAGACGAAAAACATGTAAAGTTTAAGATAACTTAAATTAGTATAAGTGCCAGTCTTTGTAAGAATCAAGCAATTTAACAGAATTTCCAAATATGGCCGAATAAAAACCACACCGACCTAACCATCCTGTTTTGAAGTTACTCGTATCCAGAGTTAGAAATGGTAGGTCTTTAGTTTCTGCGTGTCTGGTAATTCGAGAAATGTCTAGATAACTTTTGGTTAGAATGATAGCAAATTACAGAGTTAGCTCCCCTTAATTGATAATTTCTAGTGCATTTCAACAAAATTTTATCTTGAAATACCAGAACAGGAGAAGGAAACGAATGTTATATTCGTGCATTTTTATACATTTAACTTAATAATGTAAACTTTAGAGGGTTTTTGTTGGTCATGTTTTCACCACTGCCTGATTCTTAGGCAGATTGGCACATACCCGGTGACATGTAATTATACTTTTGTTTTATGATAACATGTAAACACGTTTAAGCCTTAAATCATTACACGTCACTTTATGTAATTGAAACAAAGGGATACGGTGTATCAGTTCATTATATCACTACATGCACTTGCTAGACCCCAAAGAAAAGGGTCAGCGCTTTTATTGTAGTTTTTCATCGCTAGATTTCATTGAGAACTCTTTGGAGGTTTATTCACTTAACCATAACCAGTATGTTTATATGATTATAATTTTGGAAAGTGTTATAATCAACACCACAAACTTAAAAAAAAATTATTATAGCAAAGTTACAGCACTTTTAAACGCGAAATAAATCTTAGACAGGTTAGATTCTATTACTAAGTTTTAAGCTTTCCTTTTTCAGAATGCCATGACATTTTGGTTAGATAAAGGAGTGTCAGGTTTCAGAATAGATGCATTCAAATTTGCATTCGAGTCAAAGAATTTATCCTTAAACGAAGACCTACCGGTAGATATAAATACATATTTTACATATTGTGTATACACATACAATATCAGTTTATCAAAATATACTATTGATTAAAGATTTTACTTAATACCCAAACATTTGATTTATATTCCTTGTCTAGTCACCAGATAGGATTTATATACTGTAACATATAATGGTGATAGTTGATCTACCTTTCCTCATAAGCCAAGAGAGAAAACAATATCTGACATGTCAACTTTTGTCTTCCCGGGGTTTTTATGCTTTTTTTATGGCATGGGTTTGTTCGTTTTACCTAATTTTATTTAAATCTACTGAAATAGTAGAAAAAGCAAAAACCTTCATTTGCAATTGAGCTCCTTGATTTTTTTAAAAATCTGGTGAATCAAATTTAAGATCAATTTAAACAGTCTGACAATTTGAACGCTTGATTGTTCTTGTTTTTGGCACAATACAATGTTTCCAATTTCGTAGATACAAAATACATGTACAAATGGATGTTTAATTATCGTTTTGTCATAAAAGGCAAATTTTATTTAAATTATTTATGGGAAATGTATTTAGCAACTGAACTGTATAAAAATTTTCCCCTTAAAAGTAAGGTTATTTAGTTAAAGATAGTCCTGTGTTTGAAAGAAAAAAGATATATATTTTTTTTCAAAATGATCTGTACTCCTCCTTCTATATGTATCACTTTACAAAGTGACTTGGCAAAGGGAGATAATCTAATAACATTTGAAAAATCTGGATTCATACAAATAATGAAATGTTGTTTGGTTTTTAAATGAAATTGTTTTTGTATTTTGTTTTGTGTGGATTATTCTTCTTCTGTAAATCCAGAAAGTTATGTTTTACAATCAAACTAGATTATTTTAAATCAAATTCTAATATCTTATCTAATAGCAATTCAAGCCTAATGAACTTGCTAAGTGGTCAGATGAGCAGCCTCACAACTATACAAATAACTTACCAGAACTTTATCAGATCATAAAAGACTGGAGGAAAATGTTTGAGACGTACAGAGAAAAAGATGCTATATCCAGGTAATATGCAGTAATCGGAATCAAAGATAACTTGAAGTGTGTTCAATAGAATATGAAAACTGAACTTTTAAATTACTTTGACATAATTATATTAAACAATTAATATTCTTCATATATATATACTGTCCAACTTAAGGTAGCTGGGGTGTGTGTTTAAATGCTCGACGTTAAACTTCTGCTAAAGACTAAGGGGGCAATGAACTTTAAAATTTAAATATAAAAACTCTCAGAGAATGTATAATTTGAGGCAGATCCTACAAATTGCCGCTTCATGACATTCAAAACATTTTTTAATTAATCAATTGTGACCGTTTTTAACTTCAATAGGTTTATGTCGGTCGAGTCCACTGGAATAACACAGGATATTCGAGACCAATATTATCAAGCCGGATCGGTACCATTCAACTTTGACCTCATCAGCAGTCTGAAAAGTAACTGCAATGGTTTATGTTTTAAAAAAATAATAGAACGAGGCATTAAAGATCTTTCCGAAGATGCTTGGCCAAATTTTGTGGTAAGCAATAGTTTGTAGTTTTTAAAACCTTGTTTGTTTCAAATTCCTAAGTCATTGTTTATTATAATTTCTTTTAAACATGATGTTCATAACGATATGATTTATCTGCAATAATACACCATTATATAGATAACATGAATCGCCAAAATACCGACTACATCAACCACTCATTCAAAAAAAAGGGCATGACAACAAAAACAAACACCAATGAAAACCCCATGGTCTAGATTTCCTGGATTGGAACAGGCACATAATATGGAGGGTTAAGAAACATACAAAAGTGTACTGACACTTTACAAAAGCTTTAACCATAGCCGATTGAATTTTATATCAATGTTTATTTTTGGGTCCATTCTTGGACTAAAGATATTAGAAACCAAAATCAAAACGTCTTGATTTACAAAATTCATTTCTGTCATAAATTAAACAGAAATGCACAGTGCAAGCGTAATAAGTGCGGACTGCAGAGCAAAACTGGTGTTTACCATTTTTCTTGCAGATGGGAAACCATGACAACCATCGGGTAGCCAGTCGAATGGGTCTTGACATGATTGACGTGATGAACATGCTACTTTTAACGTTACCAGGGACACCGACATGTTACTATGGTGATGAAATAGGGATGGTCGATGTTAATTATACCTTTGCAGAATCTAAGGACCCTGCTGGACTGAATTTCGGACAGGTATATCAAAGGCACCGTAAAGCCTATAATTCAGTTAGTTTTGCCTTATGTTGTATGAATTGACAGTTTAATATACAGTTCATCGGGAGTGAAATCCTGAAAATGTACATTGTATTTTTAAAATTGATATCAAGAGATTTTCGTTATATCATATTGATGGTTATTTAAGTTAAAGATTCTTATTTCAGGATTATTGGAGATATAGTAGAGATCCAGAAAGATCACCGATGCAATGGAACAACAACTTAAACGCTGGTTTCTCCACAGGTAGACCTTGGCTAAGAGTTAGTCCTGATTATTCTTCTAAAAATGTAAAGGTAATACTAATATTTCTTACAATATTTATTACAAAAATAGGAGTTAATAGCTAGTTAGATTTTAAAGTAAATACAATTAAACTATATTTTTGGAATACGTAATATGATTGAGGGATAACGTTGTAATATACATGCGGCAGAGTTTTCCTACAAAACTTTGTTTCATTTTCTAGTGATATCCATTTTAGTGCGCATGTGCGTACAACATATTGTTTTGGAAGCACGTACATCTTGTATGATTGATTAACATCACTTTGGTATGCTTAAAACATAATAAAATGCAGAGAGCATCAAAATAACCAAACGTGTAAACAGAATAGTAAAACCTGTCTAATGACAACTTTGTTTGAGGACGAAGCAACCTTAAATGAACTCATCATAGATACCAGGATTAAAATTGTGTACGCCAGACGCGCGTTTTGTCTACAAAAGACTCATCAGTCACGCTCGAATAAAAAAAAATAAAAAGGGCAAACAAAGTGCAAAGTTAAGGAGCATTGAAGATCCAAATTAAAAAAAAATACATATTAATTATCTTAACTGAACATTTTCAGTCAATTTTTATCACTTAAGTCATGATGACGACAGCAGAAATTGTTTTTGATAGGATGGTACAATAGGGGACTAAAAGTCAACTAGTGATAGTAAAATAAACGGACTCGATGGGATTTTCTGGGATAATAATCAACACATTACAAAAGTTGGAGGAGCTAAAGTATAAAGCATTTGACAGTATCAAAGCTGAAAGGGACTTTGAATATGAAAATAAGAAGATGTGGTATGATTGCCAATGAGACAACTCTCCACCAGAGACCAAATGACATAAAAGTTAAAAGCTATAGGTCACCGTACGGTCTTCATTAATGAGAAAAACCCATACCGCATAGTCAGCTATAAAATGCCCCGAAATAACAAATGTAAAACAATTCAAACGAGAAAACTAACGGCCTGATTTATGTACAAAATAATGAACGAAAATCAAATATAATATATAGCAACACATGACAACCACTGAATTACAGGCTCCAGACTTGGGACAGGCACATACAGAATGTGGCGGCGTTAAACTAGTTTGAAGGCGCCAACCCTCCCCCTGACCTGGGACTGTGGTATAACAGTACAACATAAGAATAAACTATAAAAATCAGTTGAAAAGGGCTTAAGTCATCAGATCGAAACAAAGAAGAAATAAAAAAATGTACATCTAACAAACACACAGACCCGACGTGGCAGGGTACTTATACATCCCCACAACAAAAAGACACTAATAACAGATCTTAGAGTACTCGCTGTTACTAACAGCTAGTTCAAAGTCTATAACAACTAATAAAAAATCATGCATCTAAGACTAAAATATCAATCAGTACATATCCAACATCCAATGGATTTAGTGTAAAGACCTCTTTAACAGTCAAAGAAAAACATAACCTTGTGTAATGCCAAGATACAGGTATCGACAGATTGTAGAGAAATGGATGTGAATATATAAATATAGAATAATATTTAGTTTAATTATAATTTACTGGTAACATAATCAATATTAATACCAATAAAAATGGTCAAAGATCTAATTACAGTGTTGAATTGGTTACCTTTTAGGTAAGTTTACCCTGATCGTATCTAAATTTCCGGGCTCGGTAAACAACATCTCCGTAAAAGTTAGGATGTGCTATCCCGTTTAGAATAAGTTTTTTACAGGTACAACAAACTTCGAAACCAAATCTTTGTATCTATGGAAGAATTAAGTTAAGGGTTTAAGTAATTTGTGGTAACGAAATCCCTGACTTAATAATTTACCAGTAATACATTATAGATTACTTTCATTGAAATCCAAAACGTCACAACAGACACGGGCATAGCGAACGAATTGTGATATATAAACACCGTAAGATGGTGCCAAAGGAACATCACCGTCCAAAAAAAAAAAGGGAAAATTAACAATAGGGAACAAAAAATCGTCCCTTTTGTCGTAAATTGTATTGTAGAGATTCCCGTGTAAAACTTAAATTTCTAAATCTAGGAAAGGACAGTTATTACCGTTTATATTTGATTTATCTAAAGTAAATTCCTTTGGGTAAATTTCGGCACTACATTTAGAAAATTCTTGATTATTTAACGAATGAAATGTCATCAAGATAATGGTAAGTGTTGTTGAATTTATCAATAAAATGCAATTTAGACGGGTCTTTACTGGGTTTGGTCATAAACAGTGATTCATAACAGTACAAGAACAAGTCTGCTATTAAAGGGGCGCAATTGGTGCCCATAGGAATACCTACAACCTGTCGATATACTTTATTGCCGAAATGTACATACATATTATCAAGGAGAAAATTAACAGCTTCAATCATCTCATCACACCCCCAGTAAGTATATCTAGCATATTTACTTTTCTCCTTAGAGAAGAAGGCTTTAAAGGAGTTGCAGCAGATATATTTGCATTCAGACCCCACCCCCCAAAAAAACAAAAAAAAAACATTTAATTTGAAGACTACCGAAAAAACGTGTCAGGAGACCCTTTAATTACCTGACAAGTTGAAACCTCAGTTTTAGATTTATGACATATTCAATTTATAATTTTAAAAAATGACAATTTAGAGTAAAATATATCACGGGGATCTTACAAGGAGTATCAAAGAATGTTATTTAAATCAGTCGTTTTCTCTTTCAGATGCAGAAAGAATCGAACAGAAATACTCATATTCAAGTTTTCAAGAAGGTAGCAGAAATCAGAAAGCTTCCTTCTTTCCAACATGCTGACATCCAATTTTCAGTAACAAATGAAAACTTTTTATCATATGTAAGACAAGCTGAAGGACGTCCAAAATATTTAGTAATAATGAATGTAGGGCTTATTAAAAATGCAGTATCGAAAGCAGACTTCACTAAAGAACCAGTCGGGTCATCAACAGGTCAAGTTGTGGCCATGACAGGAACAATAAACGTCGCTTTGGGCTCGGAATTAAACCTAAAGGAAGTGTCTTTGAAAAGAGGACAAGGACTTATAATCAGAGTGTATCACTGATGACACAGAATAACTAATTATAAGTCATTAAGTAGTACAAAATTGATAACTAAAAAACGTGTTGAATTTATATCAACAAAGATCACGTAATCAATCGATTAAACAATAATTTAAAAAAAAAACGTTAACTTCATACCAAAGTACTAAAAAAATGTATGAGTGATACTAAAATGTATTTATAAGACAGTTTCTATAATCAGGAAGTAGCTTTTTGTCCCTTATTTTACAAAAGAAAATATCTTGGGAAATATGCTTTTTTTTTTATTTAAGAAAATTACACATGTCTCATATGGAAGGCAAATGCAAAATAAGGATATGTGTATGATTGGCAATTAGAAAAATATCCGTCAGAGACTTTCAGTACGTAGATTTAAGCATCTTTGGTTCACCATATAACCTTCGACAAAGAGTAAACCTCAGACCGTATTGTAATATTGTTCATCTGTCATTATGATTTTCAGAATTAGTGCTTTGATAGCTAAATGTATTTGTTGTGATAAATAAAATTTGAATATAATAACTTGCGATTACATTGTAGTTTTTTTTTTTGTATTTCATGTTCTCTTATGGGACACGTCAATTGTTCATCACATTCACCATAAAATGTGATTTCATAATTTCCCCCAAAAAAATCATTGAAATAAAAGTTGACAATGATATAAAGGAGGTTAGACTACTAAATAAAGGTTAAGCTAAACACCTGGGGTAAACTCATATGCTCGGGAATGGTAGGCAGTTTCTGTTCCACTGGCGGCATCCGTCGTGTTACATCGAAGTGTTAAAATACGTGGGTGAGTCATATGTGGTGATTTGGAATCATAGAAAACGGATTTTTAAACATATCTTCTCCTACCCTTAAACATAACAAATTCATAAACCAGAAAGTAAGAAAATGAAAACACAGTTTTTCAAGACAATAGATAGATAGACAAGACTGGTACCTTACAAACATTGAAGATGACGGTATTTTGCATGTAAAAGTTTGCCTTGCAACAGGCCACCCACGGACACCTAAATGGTTGTTGCAATAATTTCATCTAGTGCAGAGCGAGCACTTTCCTTTAGCAAAGCTTCGGATTTAACTCTCCATTTAATCATGTTTGAACATCCATCCCGCACAGCCAAATGGACACCCTTCTTCGCATGCCTTCTGATTACTTAGTATTTACATTATTGCATATAATTTGCATATTTTTTTTTTATAGTTTTCACTAGAGAAAACATACTGATATGATATTTTGTGTTATGAATTGATAGCTTGCGTCTACAGCTTCTAATTCTTTCTGTCATAAGTGTTCTTTTCCGCATGAAGTCTCTAATTCTCTAGGTATAGATTGATCATAATGTGGATTTTTTTCTGAAAAGGGCGAGTCGATTGAGAAAAATATCTATCGACAAAATAATATGGATGCAATCAACAAGTTTTCTTTCAATTTTCAAAACTGCCTTGAATTGTAATAATATTGAAAGCATAACCGCAACTTCATTGTTCCGTGTACAATGCACATAGTCTCTCTTTGACAATGAATCATAATTCTAACCTAATTGATTTAATGCCATATATTTATGGCTCATTGATGGAGAAGATAATTCAACTCCTACTTCTTTGAAACAAAAAGGTATTTTTTTTCTGAATTGACAGTCGCATTCATCAGCAGCAACGCAGTACTATTGTAGTATTGATTAATTGTATTATTTTTACACAATCTGATTATCCCGCATGTAAACGGATTTTTTTCAGTGCAAGACTTTTTTCTCTCTCAGTCATTAATCTCCTGAAAAGGTGGGAGATGCTTAATCTTTAGTATTTAAACCGTACCTTTGATCCAACTCGTTAACATTGACGTTCGGTGTGTACCTTCTGATTTAGGCTTTGCTATGAATGTTGGTTCCATCAGTTTAATTGGTAGTCATCATGCGACTAAAGACCTATAGTCGCTTATACCCACGACACTTGTTGGATATTGTCTCATTGGCAATCACATTGATTTATTGTTGATTGCTTAACGTCCAGTGGCAAATATCTCATGCATGTTCAGGACTATGGCAATCATACCACATCTCCTTATATTTATATGAAATATACAATAAACATGTTTTTATAACATTATCTACATTTATTTGAATTGCAAAATTTATTACATAAAGAATATGAATTTTATTGACTTTGTTTTATTACGACTTACACACCACAACGTTCAAAGTAGGTGCAAAGTATCGCTTCATCTACACTGTTGCTATACTACATATTTATATATACATATGTAGGACTCTAAAATGCGATGGGGACGCCAAAATACAATTAAAACATATAAAACGTATAAAACACTTAGAAAACCATATTTTTCAGTAGTTAGGTAAAATTAATTGATAAAGTAATATAAAATTATTGTTGCTTGTTGAACGTACAGTGGGAAATATCACATGTATATACAGGACGATCATACGCATGATCATTTGATCATTTATTCTAAAATAATTTTAGTATTTCTACTATTCATGTTAAGGTTACAAAATATAATCTAACTTAAGAGGAAAAGGAGATTCTGGAGATGGCTCACTTGGATGTTGAGGAATTAAATTTGTCCAATTTTAATTTGGCAGCTTCTTCTATGTTTGTAATCAGATGTTATGAACTTGAGTGAAATAAAGTCTTCTTTTTATTTTCTAATGGAATCATTCTATTGACATATTCCTCATTTCCATTCTCAATTTTATAAAAAATTTGTTTACAATATGGTTCGTTATTTCTGTTAAAGATATGGGTATACGTCAACTAGACGGTAACCTAACGACCAGATAGACCAACTGCCATTAATGTAAGCAACTATAGGTTATCGCATGGCCTTTAACGCGGAGCATTGGCTATCACCGCATAGTATTCTAACTTCAACGTATATACTAGCAACTGCAATGTACCCATTACACTTTTTTGACAACTATCGTACTTTCAGTTGAATAAAAAAATGAGACACATATATACCCAAGACCAAATGTCGTTGATATATGCAACTTATAACTACGGCCTTTAACGTGGAGCCTTAGCCTACGCCGCATAGCAATCTATATATTATATATACATAGGGGCACATAATGTCCAGTGTAAAACAAATAAGAAGAGAAGGACAACGGCTTGATTACTAAACATAATAATAAACGAAAAACTACAATAATAGGAACACAGAAACAAACGAAAACCATTGCCTGAACCCCATTCCTGTTATACCATCGTACTTTAGCGTGCTATACTATCGCACTTTAGCGTGTCATACCATCGCACTTAAGCGTTTGACACCATCGCATTTTAGCGTATACCATCGCACTTTAGCGTGACCCTCGCACTTTAGAGTAACATCGCACATTAGAGTCCTACATATATAATAGTCTCCAGTCCTTGAACAAGGACTTCTTATTTAGCTTAAATTGTCTGAATGCTCATCAAAATTGCTACGTTCCTAAAGCACAGCTGAATTGACAGTGGCATGCAACAGAAGAAAAAAACAAACTTTTCTATCTTGGTAGCAATATCTTACATAAGTAAAGTTTAACTTGTAGAAAGAGATAACCCCTAAAATCGACTCGAAATAAATAAGTGCCCGTTCCTGAATAGGAATAACTATGGTTTTAACGCATTTATTCCATATATCAAGTATCATAATTTTACTTAACATAAATTTACTAACTATCAGTTTTCACTATTTTTTTTCAATCGTTTTGAGACTTTAAACTTTTGAATTAGGGGCAGTGTGTCACAGGGTTGGGTAACAAGTTATCATATAAATGCTCTTTATATACAAAGATTGAAATCCTGTTAACAAAATTGTGCAAGTTAAAAACAGCCACCCTAGTTCGCTGCAACAAATGATAATTGTTTTAAGTATTCGTGACAAAATTTTAACTGCAAAAATATTTTCTGAATTCATGCCAAATGTTATTCAATTCAATGTATTGATAGTTATTGCAAATCAAAATCATAATAAGTAAAATTGAATTATGAATTGTATAAAAAGCAATAAAGGTTATCCGACTTATTTCAATTTGATACCCCACTAGCATTTAAACACAAATTATTTATTGTTCTACCCATTAAAATTAAACTAAATCAATATTTGTTGTATATAGGTATCTCATTTTCGTATCGATCTTTTGAAAGAGAAAATAAAATAAAACTGGATAAGCAAAATAAATATTTATCCAAACCTGGATTTGACTGCCAAGTTCAAAAGGTCAGGCAGCATTAATAGTTGTAACATGGTAAGGTTATTGACACTTCCGAATTCGACGAATTACTTTTTATAGCTTACCGTTTTCCTATTATTTTAGTTAATTACCCTATACGGACCTCTGTGTATTAACAAAAATATATTCCCGGAGTGTTTTGAACTGTGACAGAATTACAATAAGACGGTATAATTCCTTTGAAGTATGTAAACTAAATCTCAGGGTGGAATTACTTTACAACGCAGTGCATATTATGACAATTTAACCAAACTACTGTAATTGTTATAATTTTAAACATCGACTTTAAATGTCAAAATTTGTGGATTCATCTTTAATTGTTGAAGATTATTCAGATAAGAGAAAGTCTGATGAAGCCAGATGGGTAAGCAATATTTTACCTATAATTATGTAATTAGATGATTCAAATTAATGCAACAATATTGGTTTGTTTACATGTTGACAAATTAAATACCTTCTTATCTAAAAGATATTTGTTTGTGTTATCTCTTTGTTTGCTAACTCCATACCAGACAATTGGAGAAATTAAATATGAACTATTTATCCTTAAAAATAAAGATGTTGAACTTTCTTTATTGATTGACCGTTATAAGTTAATCATTTTTTATTTAATAATTTTAATGATTATTCTTACAAGAAACTAAATAATGATATTGCATTATCGTTGTTGTATTGGAACAGCATGATTTATTATAGAAGTACAAATGAATTTCTGAACTATTCAGTTTTATTGAAAAAGTGCATGTCATGAACATAATACCAATGGACAAAAAATCGATGTGGTAATTGTTTCAAACTGTCAAAGGAAATTGTAAACAATTACGTTACAAATTAATAACTCTTTCTGTAATACATATTGCATAGTTACGACAAATAATAACCCCCAATCGAGTAGGGTAAAAAAATGCTGAGTCGAAACAAATAAATTTGTACATGTATGAAGGTCATAATTAAGCAATAATAATTCTGTTTGATATATGCCAATTTGCAACTTTGCCAATATATAGTTAAAATATTATTCTTCAAGACAGTTAAAATTATGAGTTAATTTATCTTGCACATTTGGCACAAATTCAAATCATATGTTTTATTGTGCATTCAATTGCTTGAATGTAAACATTGTTTGGAGGGATTTCACCTTTTCAAATACCCAAGATAAAATTTTTGTTTACTAAATACGTACATATCCTTCTTTTATATTATACTGCAATCAGGCTAAGTAGAATGCATTTAAAAAATAAAGTTTTACTTTAAAAGATTTACGACCAGATTTATGGATTTGGTTTTAAGCTATACTGACTATTGAGGAATGCCAAATAAATACTACAGGAGTGGAAATGCTTTGGCATATTTTAATGTGCATTATAATGTGACCTATAATTGATACTATCAACGCGATTTGTGCTCTGGTGGATAGTTGTCTCATTGACAATCATATCCCATCATATTTTCATATCATAATTCTAACATGTTGACATTTTTTTAATATTTAGAACTTGCATTAGATATCAATTGCCTCCCAAAAATAATTTTGACCACCGTATTTCACAATCTATTCTTTTAATAATAATGCAGCCATTTTGAACTTTGTGCAGTGTAGTTTTTTTTTGTGCGTTATATAAACACTTGCTAAATGTTGGTACAGTGCTATGACATTAAATGAAAACATACTTTATACATTTTGAAACGCTCTAACCTAAACTTTTGAAAGCCAGGGAGGGATACGTAAATACAATATATTTTTGAAAAGTTCTGTTGTTGGGATGCTGTATCATTGGTGGGGATAAACTTTAACTTTAACGGCAATGTTTTTAAAAACTCAATCCTCTCCCAGTGGAATATGTTGTGATCAATGGAAGAGCCCGTATTATGATAAGTATTCACCATGCACAATTATACTGAACGTTGTACGTTTTCTGTACTCCAGAGTCTTGGTCAATACTTTATAAAGTCTGGTTGATTTAAAAACTACTGTGTCGGACATAAACGAATCAAAGGAGACGTTGGGTAAACGCCAATGAGACAACAATACAAATAAAAACAAAATCCTTATGGAGGTCAACACACAATTTTTAACAATAGACAAGAATATATACTCTAAACCTCCAACGTCTAACAAGAGTTTTGACTAAATTTTAAGAGAGACTATGAAAGATCTGCCATCAATTTACACCAAATTCCCAAAACGACGACAACATCTAAGATATAACTAAAGACTTGAAATTTAATAAAACAAATTCGTTTACTATAACGTTGATCTATATACAGTATAAAATTTGATTAAAAACAAAAGTGTCAATACATTTGACACCTTTTAAAATCTGCTTAGCGAAGGAAAAAGTGAAGCAACGAACATTTTAAAAGAAACCATGTAACGATATCTATGTAGGACCGAATACACAAGATATTCAAGAAGCTACATTCCATTTGTCTTCGGAACAATGAAACGTTTACAAATTATCTATTTATTTAAGGTCTACCTTGATCTTGTACGGATTGTTGATTTAGGTGAATGGGATTAGTTCGTATCGATCTTTGACAAATAGGTAGAATAACGGTAAACAATACATATCTTGTAATTTAACTCTGATTTATAACGGATCAATAGTTCGAACGATCAACTACTGAAAATGTCGGGTACGTGAGGTCTTTATCTTTCCCTAGTTGAACCGTTAGGTGCCGTGACGCTCCGAAATGTCAGATTGTTTGTTTTTATTGTTCAAGAGATACAGATAAAACATGAATTACTGGTCCGTCCTGTTGTTTGTTGCTGATGAAGCATTTCTGATAAAAGGACCAGGTTACAAGATGGGCAAATTCTGTCGTTACATAGTTCAATTAAAACATTATCATCGACAATAATCAATCAATACTATAACAGTTTGTCTTGTAATCATGATACATTTTACAAACAATTGTAATTAAATAATATCAGACAAAAACACAGGCCTTGTCATTCGGTATTTGGCGGATGGTTGTAATAAACTATTGACACTTGTCTTTTTGGCAATCATACTACATCTCCTTGTTTTAATACAGAGTACTGCGATCATCATCGTTTGTGATGGAATGCGGTAGTGGTGGATAAAACGTGGACGTCAAATGGCATTACTACTTTTATAGTATTAACATTGAAGCAACACTTCAAAGCTTGAACTATCTTTATTTCATTTTTGCCAAGGCACACTGCTCATATATAACTACTAAATAAAGTGGAAGGGGTCGGAAGACTGGACCACGGAAGCATGATGTACAACAACAATTAACTTTACTTACTTACTGCCCTGTTCGCCATTGACAATTAACTTTAAGCCCATTTATTAAGTTCACTACTTCCTGTATGACTGTATATGAAACTTCCAATGTTTTCCCAAATGGGGATAGTTGGTTAGGATTGTTATGTTATAGCTAAGGAGCTTTAAAATGTAATAGATGAGCCTTGATCAACCAAAATTGCTTGAAATAGAAATTAATGGCGCTATATATTATAATCAACCTTACCTTAAATCATCAATGAATTATGAAACAAACAGACTGTCATTACGAGTAAGAGTAATCTAAATGGTAACATCACAACATATGCATAGATGTTTGTCCATTGATGAAGACAGAATGTTGAACTCTTAATGACATTTGATACTTTCTGTGACTTTTGATGTTTACTTTATATCGGAGGTGTTTATTCGTGTTTCTCTTTTTTGTCTTCCAAGTCTTTTTGGTTGAGGACGTGTTTTTTTTCAAATAAATGTTTATACTCATATCCCTGTGACTGGTAGTCCTAGTTTTCCCTCCTACCAACAGTTCCTTGAAATCTCTCATATTGATGTTTAAAAATGGTATGTAAATTAAAATGTTACACAGTAACTGAAAATATCAATTGAGGCACGCGGCCGAAAATAATCACATACTCGAGTTCATTTAATGAAACTTATAGATCAGAGATTTGTGTAGGTAAGCACGGTTTGAAAGTTTTGCATCACCTGCAAAATTTACACAAGATCCCGTATCTCAAGTTTTGCAAGAACGTTAAATATACATGAGACTTTCCTCTCGCACTTGAGGCAAGCAGCTACGACTAGACCAACATGGTGGTTCAAAGAACTGAAACAATCATTGTATCAACATTCCGATTCATTAACGTAAAAATCTTACAGTAGTCAAGTTACATATTAATTTTTCAATTCCTAAAATTGTATTCTATTCTCTATTCCGTTGTATGGAACATGAGGCTGAGCACGCATATTTTTTTGAAAGACAAATGAACAATTTGAACCTACTGTGTTTACGGAAAATGCGTATACATAGACATATAAGAAAGGGACTCGAAAGAAAATGTCTTTTTGTTTTAACATTAACAGTGTTACAGTTCAATTCAACTTATTCGAACACTGAATATTTTTGATAGGGGTGATCACATTCAAAATCTAACCTTTTATGATGTGACTACCAAAACAAAGATTTAAAATATTTAAAATAACTTATTAATATTTTTAATCTTGAAAATACACGCTAATTTGAGTATATTAGAAAGACTGTTATCGTACAAACTTTCGGCCGACGTCGTATTGGATTTAGTTGAGCTATTGAAAAACGAAATTTTCAAAAATGCTCATTTTATTAAATCAGGAATGTCATTGCAACTGAAGAAAAATATTGCAAGATTAAAATCATTAACACTTATTTTAATTTAAAGCAATAATTACTAGAAATGGGTTTAGACGGATTACAATGTCGATTTAAGACATTTTCAACACACTTGCTTTTGTATTTTTAAATGGATAAAAGTACGCTACATTTAGCAGGTAAAAAGAAAGTTAACAAGTAAGAAACATTAACGGATAAAAATTATTTACAAGTATTTGATTTTAGGTAATTGAAGCATACACAAGGTTTTCATAAAAGAAAAACAGTTACATATGGAAAAAAAAAAAATGATTTTGTTATTTACTCAGCTCTTAATTTGTTACACCTCTTTTATACTCTTATACTTTTGGTTCTAAACTTTTCTGGTGAAAGGAAATTCAAAAAAGTGGTATGTCTTACTTTCATGTCACGCATGAAAACATTTCTGACAGTCGAAGCATAATAAGTTGCTTCGTGTAACGGGTGAATATTTTGAAAGTACATCCCAGAATAGTTGATGTCAGTCACTAGTTCTTTTAAAGTACGAGTTAAAGAATCACGCCATGTCAAGTCACGTAACAGCTATGGGCTAATTTCAAATTTATCTGCACTAAAATATTAAGATGCATTCTACACACACTTCGAAATAAAAGACGTTTGACAGCACCACTGCATCTTGCCACGAATAATTCAAAGGAAACTTTTTTTTGTTAGACATGACTGCATATTTAGATATTGCGT